AAACCGCCTTCACCCTTGGTTTTGCTGATCCTTGCTGAACTCCTTCCTCTGCTGACCTCCAGCCTCTGACGATGGATGATGATGCCATCCCATTTCAGGAGATTTACACTAGTTTGTACAAACAAGGGAGAGCATGTAAAGATCTCTTTAAACTACCCATTTATAATCCCTATAGTTGTCTACCATGACCTGTTCAAGGCCAGACTGGTCTACAGAGCTATGTAGAGAAACCGTGTCTTAAAAAACAACAGCAAAATTTTCATACACTGTATTCAGATCATGATTTCTCCTCCCACGACTCCTCTCCACCCACCCAACCAAGGCCACACTCTTTCTTTCTCTTTCGAAAACAATCAGGCAAAACAAAACTCCCAAACAAACCATTAAAAACACACCATACCACATGTACACACACACACACACACACACAAATACACCAAACAAACAAAACCCCAAATCCATAAAAACATAAAAGTAGAATACAAGTAAAAGGCCAGTAAGACAAAAACTAACAATAACAACAAAAAAGCAATCTGAGACAAAAAGTCTACAAATACCATTGAGTTTGTTTGGTCTTGGCCATCTAATACTGGAGCCTGCCCTTAAGTGTGCTTTGTATATCCAGTGAGACTCCATTAGAAAAAACTAATTTTTCCATTGCGAGTGAATGTCAGTTGCAATAGCTTCTTGTTTAAGGATGAAGATCACGAGTCTATTTCTCCTTTGCAGCTGGAAACACAGAAGATGAATCAAGAACTGAGATTCGATGTTTTGGGGGAAATGAACAAGAGGAGAGAATAAGTAATAAACATCTTTATTATTATGGGAACACAAAAGATAATGTCAAATATTGACAGTTGGCAGCAATACAATTAGTGTTCTGCCTTTGCCAATTCCAGACTCGTGATTCAGTCTCTTACAGATCAAAGACATTCAAATGTGCCTGCAGGCTGGAGGTGTGGACTATAGTAAGGGTGCTTACACAAGGGTGAAGAGAGAACAAAGCACCTGTATCAAACATGTACAGCCCAATTTTTCCCTCTTGTCAGTACTCCCTAGATAATACACTACAACAGCCATTTGCATGTCGTGTGTATTATGTTGGGTTAATATGAGAAATAACCCAGAAATGACTTAAAACACACAGGAGAGTATATCATAATACATGTATACACGATGCCATTTTATATAAGGGCCTTGAAACATCTGCAGTGTTTGGTATGGGGAAAACCTTAGGAAACCAAGCACATAAGAATATCAACGGGGGACCATGTATGCATTTTACTTCAAATGAAAAAGTAAGTATTGCAGGAAAATATTGTAGTAAGAATCTACAACAATTTGGTATCTCTGCCTCTGGAGGGTATAGTCAGGCTGGAGGAGGAATATGAAGACACAAAATTCTTGTTTCCTGTGACAAGCTTTGCAACATTTGATGTTACAACCTACTTGCATAAAAATTAAACTGTTATTTTTGAAAACTAAATGTACTCCTTACAATAGCTCTTTTAACTTATAAACTCTTGAGGTTAATTTCACAATAAACAGAGACTTATTAACTTACCTTCATTTATTAGCCTACGCAAAATTCTGGGCCACAGCTGGATTCTTATGAGACACGTTGTGAATTTTGAAAACATGTAAACCTATTGTGGATATTTGGGAGAGCTATCATATAGCTGCTGTTTTTTTCCTTCATCTGTTTAACTCCACTAACAGGATGTCACAGTTCCTACAGTTCAGTAGTCTTGGCAGCCCAAGATGAACGTGTAGGCAGATTCCACATCTGGTGGGGACTCAAAGACAGCCATCTTGTCACTATAGTCTCACAAGAGGGAAGGGATTTTCCTCCAAGACCCTGTAGAAGGGTATTCCCAAATGAAATTATATGCTCTCCATCTGAATTGCCCAATGACTTCCCAAAGACCAACCACCCAATGCCAGCCTAGAGGAAATACAAACAGAATAGTGAGCGGGGCACATATCTGTCAAATGAAATCATGGTGGATTATACGAGCAAGATTTCCCTGCTGTCCTTAGTGTCCTTGCAGATTCTATCCTTGAAGATTCTATCTCTTGCAGATTCTGTCCTTGGTAGCCCTCTGAACTCTTTCTGCAGCCTCCTACAGATATAGTTCAGAGCTTTGGACATCAAGGCTTTTAGCTCTGGAATTCTTAGTGGCCTCCATACCAACACTGCTGCTACCAGAGCTAGAATACCTGAGACCCTGACGTCTTGCGCAACCACCCCAGCCTATTCTATTTTTGATAAAGATCCCATGTAGGCAAAGACACCACTCAAGCAAAGTCTTTATCAGTGCCTCACACTGTAATACCAGGTGACAGCGTGGGGCGGAAGCTACCCAGACTTAACTGAATAAAGCAGTCTGTTTAAAAATCCTGGAGGGGCTCAGATGCTTATGTTCAGTCTCATTCCACCATCCATCGTCCCACATACGCACAGCTTCCAATTCCCAGTCCCAAGCCCTACAGGGACCAATGACAAGTTCCCATTGAGTCAATTGTCACAGCAGGAGGAGTTGCCCAGTTCATCTCTAGTCTCCCAAAGCTGATACAAACTGTGCATAAAGAGGTCATAGCTGGGGCATGTTCTCCCAAGCAGGCCTTGTTGACTTCAGTTGCAGTTATGATTCCAATGGTTCTTGAAACATGAAAAGTCATGTGATTGTTAGATGTTGTGGAACAATCTATGAAGATGTGCTGCTCCCATTGGTTTAATAAAAGGCTAAATGGCCAATCACCAGGCAAGAAGAGGTTAGGTGGGACTTGCCAACAAGGAGAGAATGTGGAGGTGAAGAAGGGCAGAATTGCCAGGAAACACGGAGAGAAACAAGATGAGATGCCATATTGAAGAAAGAACTGAGCTACATGGTAGAACTCAGATAAGAAATATGGGTTAATTTAAATTGTAATAGCTAGTTAGTAACAATAAAATTGAACATTTATAATTAAAGTCTCTATGTGGTTATTTGGGATCGAGTTGGAGAGACAGAAAAGTTTGCCTATACCTGGAGGGCCAAAGAAGCTTCCGTGGGGTTCCTGGGATGATCTCTATGCAGGCAGCCACATAGGGCAGAGAATATGTCAGCTGTCAATCAAGCAAGCAGTTGAATGGCCCACACCTGTCATGTAAAATACCATTTAAAATACCAAAGGATGTTTATAATAAAAATCCATGGAATTAACCTTAACTGTGTTTAACAGTGCCCAAATCTTATGTAAAATTCTTTAGAGAGAGTTGGGTTATTCTGTGATTCAGTTTTGTGAAATTTTAAAGCAATATATATTCAAAAATGAATATTTTAGAATAACTATAAGAAAGGTATAAGAGAGATATTCCTGTTTTCATATTAGAACATACTGATACACACAATAACATAATAATACAGTTCTATCCTTAGATTTCTTTTTCCAATTAGTTTCAATGCTCTTTTGTGTAAGGAATCTATATTTTATTTAAATTTGATTAGTTTTGATTTGCCATTTGTGTTTACTCAGAGACCTGACTGGGTTGATTGTGCCAATCCAAGATGTGCTCTCTCCTGACCTGTGGTGTTTACCAATTACCCACGAAATTACAAGAGAAAAGATTCCCTTTCATCGGCTTGGTTGCCTTGGTCACTACAAAGTCTTTGCACAGCGTCCCCTTGTCAGACTGCTTCTCCTCTGTGTCCTTGAAAGCCTGGTGCCCTTTTCTGTGACTTGCATCACCCTGAGCTCAGAGGAAAGCAGGGAAGCACTTGAGAGTGGAATGCATTAGCTTCGTTTTTGTTCTTTTTTTTTTTTTTAACAATCTGCCACCACGGTGGGAGCTTTAAAACAACACAAACTTACTACTTTACAGTTCTAGAAGTTGAAAGTCCAAAGTGAGTCTCACGGGATCTGAAGTCAAGCTGTAAGCAGAACTACATCTCCCCCAAGGCTGCTTGCCTTTCCCAGATTCTAAGGCATCTATGTTCCTTGGCTCAGAAACTCACTCCATCACACACACACACACACACACACACACACACACACACACACACACCTGTCCCCACCACTTAGATCAACTAAGGTGTTGTGATTCTCAGCCTACTTGACTCATGTATAAGGACTCAGGGCCTGCTCAAATAATTCTACATGATTCTCGATCTCACAATACTTAATCACACCTGCAAGTCCCTTTCTCAAGTCAAGTAAGAGATTCGTGAGCTGCCCCACGAGGACATCTTTGGGGTTACTGTGTTCTTAGAGATTATTCCCAGAGCAAAAACTGACAGGGAAAAAAAATATCTGCTTTGGTAAAGCATGGGAATACATTCTCCAGAAAATTCGAGAAACCTGGGAATGGCTGTGAGTTAGGAGGAAGGCTTGGTTCTTTTAGACAGTATAGTACTACAGACCTCTGGCTGTCCAGGCTAGCCTTGAACTCACAGAGAACCACCTACCTCTGCCTCCAGGCCTGAGCAAGGTGTTTTTAGGGTGAGTGGGCTCATGGAAATATCAGTGTTAGACACACTTGTGAAGTCTACCCGAATCCCAGTTCCAAAACAGCCAGCCAAATGTGTATTTCAAACTTTGCAAAAGCAATAATAACAACAAGAAAGCGGTGGCCTCAGAACCAGCATCTCTGCCACCTCTGGGTGCCGGGCCGCATTTCATCTTCAGTGATTCTTGAAAGAAACCTGACACTAACTAGTCCAGCCCACGGGACAGGGACTGAATCATAAACCACACTGGAGATAAACCAAGAAACAACAAACCCCAGTTTATCCGAAAGAAACAGTGGTGGGAAACCGCACCAGGAGGCCGCTCATCTGGGCTTGGATTCTCAAGAGGACTGACCATGGAGAAGGTCACAGTCCGCCAGCTGCTTTTCTTTGAAAGGATATTTCCCTGGTGATGCCCACTGAAGCGTGGGCAAACTTCTGTCTTCCTGCGTCATGGGATGTTCCCTTCCCCACCCCCTCCTTTTGTGGGCGTGTGGGCGTGTGTGTGGGGTGTGTGTGTGTGTGTGTGTGTGTGTGCACGCAGTGTCTTGCTCCCTGTAAGAGCACAGCCCCGCTGCCTGTTCCTGCTGCCGCTGCCCTGACTCTCTGCCACTTCTTTCCTCTCTTTTCTCTTCCTGCTTAGCTCCCTTCCTTCTGGTAAGTGTGGCAAACACTCCCCCCAAAGCCCTGCCAGGTGCAGCCTGGAGTTTGTAGAGAACGGTGGAAGGGTTTGCCATTGTTCAACTTCTAAAGACAACGTGTGGATCAGGAAGGGATGGTGTGTGTGAGCAGCTGCAGGGGGCCTAGGATGGGGGAAACATTCCTCCTCACAGGGAGGGCCCTAGAGCCAATAAAGACAGATTTCTTTGCTAGAAAACAAATTACTATATAAAAGGGATCATTTATTTTATTTGTATATGTTTTTGGTTTTATTTGTATATGTTTTTCCTTCTTATTAATTTGCTCTGGAACTGTGTTTAGTCAGTAAACTGTCGTGGGGTGGGGAAGGTTACTCTGTTTGAAAAAAAAAGTTGGGGTTTGGGGATAGAACACAATAGTTGAGCAGTTGAGGTCCTGGAATTGATTCTCAGTGCTACACACACACACACACACACACACACACACACACACACACACACCAATTAACATAGAACAGGAATTTAAAAAACTATCCAGGGACCTAAGTATAACAAAAGAACAACCGATGGGTAATGGACCACGCAAATGCTTTCACGAAGCCTACTCACAGGAAAATGCCTAGGGACTGTTTGAAATAGCTGCCTTGACGTTGACTTGACTTTAGATGTCATCCAACAATAATATTCCCTCCACGTACAAGCTCACGAATGGGTTCAAACCAGCGAATGTTCCCTGTGTTCAGTCTGACTTAGTCACTGTTCTCTTGACTGCAGGGACGAGGGTAAATGTCAGGCTCATTTTAGAAGAGCCTAAAATAACTTCAGGCTGGACGGCAGGTGACACGCGGCTTTCTCTGTGCTTGGGAGAAACAGGAGTTATATATAGATGGGAGGGTAAAAAGGAGAGGTCAGGATACAAACTGCCTGGCATGGTGGAGACGTTGCCACATTATGTGATAAGAAGTTGACAACGTAAAACTAGTGAACTTGCGTCCAAGTCAGTGAAAGCTGGGTGAGCAGCACAGGTGGGTGGCAGTGTCTGCACGCTGGCTTTGCCACTCTTGGCATTCAAGCATTCTGACACCTACTACCCTAAAAATGGGACAAGGAAGCTGGGCCGTTTGGAGAACAGCATGTTTTTGTTTTCGCTGTCATGCCAACACAGCAAAACCTGTGAGGCTTGAGGATTTTGCCATATTTTGGGGCTGCAAATTAGCAGCATCGCCATTAAATTCTATTTGCAAACAAAATGTACCAGAATTTTAAAAAAACCTAAGCCAAATGTATACACCCCTCAAAGTGGTAAGAGCAAAGCCTGGGTTCTTTATTGCAATGTATTATATTGCTCCATATTTCCCAGAATCTGTATTATATCTGGGTGTTGTTGTTGCTGCTGTTGAAGATGATGAGGAAGAGGAGGAAGAGGAGGAGAAGAAGGAGGAGGAGGACAGGCCTGAGGCAGGCCTGGGTCTCACTATACAGCTGAGGATGGTCTTGAATGTCTGATCTTCCTCCATGTAGGATAACAGCCATAGCCCACTACGCCTGGTTTGAACCCACTTTGTATTTGAATTATTTTTCTAGTTGATCTTTCTGTTTATTATACATTGTTTTTTTTTCTTAAAATTCTTACCATTTCTTAAAACTTAGGAAACTTAAGACTTAGAAAACTGTAATCTCTTTTCTTCTAGAATAAAGTCAATTTTAGGAGTAGAATAGTATAGAAATTTAAGGAACTAGTATTAAAAGTGGGTTGGAGAGATGGCTTAGTGGGTAAGAGTACTTACCCTACAAGCACAAGGATTTGGGTCCAGTCCCTAACAACCATGTAAAAACCCAGATGTAGGCAGATGCGCCTGTAATCGCAGTGCTGCTAGAGACAATGATAGGAAGTTAAGGCGGGCCCAGTGCCCAGTTCAGTGAGAGACGCTGTCTCAAAAGAAGAGGGTGGAGAGTGGTAATGGCAGGGCACCTGACATCCTCCTCTGTCCTCCACCGGTGCACACACGTGTGTATGTATGCACCACACTCGTGCACATGTATACACATGAAAATACTTATAAGCACCAGCATTCTTCCATAGTATTGGCTTATTTATATAATCCCTCATTCTCCATTTTAATTAAAAAATAATGCTAGTCTGAAGCTCAAAAAAATGTTTTTGCTCCTTGATAATTGCATGGTGCTCATTACCAGGAAAATATGAGAAAAAAAGTGATTTTTACCTAATAATGTATTCATATTAAAGTATGCAAATTAAATTTGTACTTAAAGATTAAAAATAGCTTAGGAATATGACTATTATGAATGATTTTAAGTAAACACAATGGTTCTTGTAGTAAATATTTTAGCTTTGAAAGAGAATGCCTATATGCTATATATATATATATATACACACACACACACACACACTTATATAAAGAATGTATATACTTCTGAGGACTGTGAAGTCTACACATGAAAATCTTGATTCAAATTAACAAATATATCCATACAAAAAACAATACCATGAGTTAACTCGGATGATTTCAGCAATTAGAAATACTCCTAAAATGTGAAGATTACACTCAAAATATGGCAGTAACGTGACTTGATTTTTAGTGTCAGTGGTATATTAAAGTTCATTTTTTCTACGATAGATACTAAAATTAGTTGATACCTATCTGAGAAATACCTTTATCATTAATCTGTAAGTGGGTTCATTACATAAAACCTAACTGTGCTTCCTACCAGATACCACTCCCATATGGAGACTAATCACCCTAAGCAGCTCTCAGCTGAAGAGCCAAAACCTGCAGAAGACAGCTCATCACTCAATCAAAATGGCCTGGAAAAGCAAGCTGGCCAGCAGCCCTCAACGTCACTCGGAGCACCCGAGGAGACAAGTGTCCACCCTGAGAAGGGAACCCACGACATCTCGGAAGAGTTGAACCAACAACTGGAAGACATCATAAGCATGTATGGGTCTGCTGCCAGTCCCACGGGGAAAGAGGGCAGCGTGGAAACTAAGGAGCAGCCCGAAAACACAGAGGCACTGGACAATGAGGATGGGGACTATGAGGAAACCACGGAAGGGGCAGACAGGGAACCCACTGCTTCTGAAGAGGCAGCCACAGCCAAGGAGCCTGCCAGCAATAAAGAGCAAAAGCTGGAAAAGAAGGTCCTAAAAGGATTAGGCAAGTATTATCTTCTAATACATGGCTTTTCTCTTAATTATTCCATTTGCTTTAACTTCACTAAGATCTATATCTATTAAATTTGGATTCATAGACTACCCTCTTTGGGGGCTGTATTTGTCCCTAGCCCATTCCTTTAAATAAAACTAAAGTAAAAGTTTACCATGATGCCTATCTACTCTACCCTCATGGCTTCACATTGCTCTTAGAAATCGAAAATTCTTAAGACATTTTTAGTCCTTTAAACTGGTCTAGCCCTAAGCAGTTTAAGCTTCCCCTCATTTCACAGTATCCCCAGCATCTCTTTCTTTATCGTTCTGTCCTGACCCCACCACTACTACAGCCATTCTCGTCTTTTATTTTGGCTCTTTGAACTTCCCTGTTCCCTTCTCCAAAGGCCTGTGCACGTTCTACCTAGAAACTTCTGTCCACTTCGCATAGCCACCCTTCCAGAGCGTTTGGAGCATAGAACCCCTACTTACCACTCAGCTCATAACCAACAGGCAATTCCTTAGTCCAGTTCTAAAGCTCTAACTTCTTTGGGTCTGCGCTGTACCATGTGTCTTCTTTTCACAGTACTAACCAGCATTGTGAATTATACATTTTGGGGGACAGTATTTGGTTAATGTACCTAATTCCTAGGTGATTTTTTTTTTCAGTCTTAAGAACAATGTGTGTATGTGTTTCGAGCATCACTGGTTGCCTGTGCTATAAGATGGGAGATGACATATTAAAGGCTCAATAGATACTTGCTATAAGGATAAATAAATGGATGGAAAATTTAAAGCAAACCTAGTAAATAAGCAAACTATAATAAATAGGGATGTTTGTTGATAAAATAATTGTCAATTAGATCACTTATTATAAAATATTTTTTATTAAGCATAGATCATAAAAAATATGGTTACTTTTGCCAAGAATAGCAGAAGACACTTACCTGCGCTCATCCATTCGTTAGTCTCATGACTATTTACTATCTGGTTATGACGCACTATGCTGGGGGCACAGACAGAGATGATTTGGTTAAGAGTCTCTCGGTACAGAGAGAAAAGCACACACGTGAACTGTTGTGCAGCAGAAACAGGCAGAGGTGAAATGTGTTTGAAGAGCATGAGGGATTGGTAGCACCAACAAAAACTGTGGATGAAGGGAAAGAAGGCTAACTTTGTAGCTATGGCTGAAAACACATTCTTGTACAGAGGAAACTCCCTCAGTCTGTCCCTACTAGTGACTGTCTCTGTGGGTGGGTTCTCAAGGGTAGCAGGCACATCTCATTCATTTGTACATCACGATAGAGTGAAATACCAAGGGCACTGGGTCAGCACTTCGGTCACACGCCACATACTCCAGTAACAGAGTTCTAGCTGTAAACCCCAGTATTCGACACTTGAGTAGGGAGCCACTGTGTACAAAAAACTCACCATGAAAAGGGTTTCCGCAAGGGTTAAATGATACCTTCTAGTAATACACCTGACCCCCCCATACACACACATAAACATTTAATATATTTTCATATTCCAAAAATGCAAAACGGAATCATTCTAGAACACTGGGGATCATTCTAATGTCCTTCCGTGTTAAAGAGCAATTTTTTCACAGATCATCGGGGATGTGCCTCTTGGCGCTGTCACACTAAGGACCCAGATTGTTTCTGAACCATTGTGCCTATCATCCTAAACCATTTGTGCAGGGATTTATGTGTGTCTGCTATACGAAGGGGCAAAATATGAAGAAAATAAGGGAGAAATTAGAGACCACCAGTGGGAGCGTCTACATTCTCTCCCATGAATTATTTTATAAACCTGTATAATACTTATAATCACCAAATAATTAGGACAGTTTTTCAGCGTGAGAAAAAAAATATTACACCTTTTTTTTCCCCCTGCCACTCTCTACAAATTAGCAAACTCCAGCCCAGTGTATCTGGCTAGAGTTTCTGTTTGTGCATCCGAGGCCAACTCTCAGCGTGTGTGGGCCTCTCTGTGCTCTGCTACTCTGCATCATTAACATATTCTCCTGCACACAGTACAGTCTCAGCCATGCCCCTAGTGATAACAGCGTTTTCAGACAAGCCTGCACACAAAACCACGACTTCCAACTTAGCTGCCTGCGAGTGGCTACTGGTTAATTACGTGGCGCTACAATATTGTCTACACTTCACTGTGTGTTTAAATCAAATTCAGAACCTGCCAAAACTCTGCCGTGCACAGCAGTTCAGAACTGGTGTGCATAAAGCCAGCCCAGGGCACCGTGACAACTCAGCAGGAAGCAGGTTGTGGGAGAAAAGGGGGCTCTGGCCTCAGAAACTGTTTCTTCCAACCTTCAAGTAATAAACTTCTGGCTGTGGCCTTCTTCCTGGGCAAAAAAAAAATACTCCCCTGGGCAGAAGGATGTTGCCAGACAAGATAAGACTTTATCTGCATCTGCCATTTACCAAAGTAGACACTTGTAACTGTCTTTTTTATAAAAGAAAACTTCTCAGGGGCATCCCCGTGACTGCAGAAGGTGGTCATTTCTCTGAGTAATAATCCTAAACAATGCCAGAGAAACAGGTTTGCTGTGGAATATTTCATTCACCTTCACCCTCTACAGGTAAGTTTCAATACGCACACTGGGAAACCCATAAGCAGGACAATGTTAATTCTGTACTGTAACATCTTAAGATACTCATTTACTTCTCATCTTCCATAGAAGACACACACACACACACCAGATGGTCTGATCCATTTCTAGTTGGTTTTTATATAGTCTGAGAGGACAACAACCCGTAGCTTTGTTATGAATGCTGAATGTTCTTGAGGGAAAGATGAGAGCCCAGTGGAATTCAAGGAGAAGAGGAATGGGTGGGACTCAGAGATGGATGAGCTGGTTCACAGAGAAGCTCAAACTTGGGTCAGAATTGAGTAGAGAGAGGAGTTGGAGAAACAGAGTCAGGGCTCCAGAAAGCAAGTCTCGAGTGAAACGACTCTGTCTTCTGAGCACAGGAGCCTGTGTGCATGTAACACCTTATTACTCTCTCTGAACTTTACCCTGATTAGTAGCAGTGTGAGCATGTCACCAGCTGACCCCATGAGAAATCCAGGTCTGTTCTCTGAGTGAGTGAAAGCGTGAAGTTCCCGGCGCAACTCTGACGTGGTCACTAAAATTCCAGAGGCACAAAATGTCAACGTAAGGGAAGATGCTGCGACTGGAAAACACAGGCAGAGTAGATCTGCCAAAACTGATTGGGGATTAAAACCCAGCTCAGCAATCAAACACTGTTACTATGAGAGGTGACAGTGGGGGTAAGGGTACTAATTTAAAATGCAGATCAACGTTCAAAGTCCTAGGATGATGAAATGGTTCAAACAATGCTGTCGTTTGGCCTTCGTTGCTGTATATACCAGACGATAAATGGCAAAACCTAGGTCATTTGTGGAGTCACCAAACCCTAAAGACTAGGTTCAGAATCCATTTAGTCAACTCATTAATTTAATTTGATATCCAGGGAAACTGAAGTCATAAAGTTGCTCAACTTGTTGATGGAAGTACGATTCTAAAACTTAGGTCTCCTAGCTAGATGTGTACTTTCCTGAAGAGATCTCTATTAATGTTTAGAAATTCTCTAACACTTACTGATTTTTCAGTTGTATTAATAGGAGGGCAAAAATAACATTAAAATGTGGCTCTGGGTGTAACATTGAAAGAAGACACACTCATCCATAATAAATGGACAAGAAGGAAATACAGAATTGTACAAGCAAGTACACAAGAACAAATTTTATCCCCTCCACCAAAAATAAAGAAAACCCATTGGAAGAGGAAAAACATAAGTTTAGGGATACGTTAAATCTAGGCAAACATTCATGACATTTAGTGTAAATGAGTATCACTGTAATTGAGAAAAAGCCTAGCTCACATTTCTACAGCTGCTCCAAATGTCTAAAAGTTAAGGTTTTTCATTCCGTTTCCAAATGATTGACCAAAAATGATTATTTTATGTCTTTTTTTGTAAAAATAGCCCCTTCACGCTCCAATACAACTGTGCCAGCGGTCACAGTCAAATGCTGCAGCCGCAGCCGCAGCGCGGTTCTCGGTGCACAGGTGCTTCAGCTTCCATACAGCGTCCCAACAAAGAGCGTTTGCATTGTGATAGTCACGTGCCCGCTGCATATCTTCCTTCGCTTTTACGGGGAGAGATAAGGCTTCCGTCGGAATGGTATATTCAGGAGAAGTATGGTATATTCATGATGCCCAGCTGATAAAATGTCCTGGAGTAAAGCGAGGTTTTCCTCTTGTCTAATAAGTCAACATTTGGCTCTGTTTCCACAAAAACGCAATAACAGCTCTCTTAGAGGCTGAGTACGTCTGTTCCTCTCCTCTATGAGTGTTCTATACAGCACTCTAGTCCCACAGAACCCATGCAGGTTTAAAATTGAACATCTCTGATGGATTCTGCACACACCTCTCTCTTGTTACTTGAATTTTCTTTTGAGGCTGGGAACAATGTTTGAAAGTGTATTGATACACTGGTATGATAGATAGACATCTATACAAAATGATAGATTGCTAGAGCAGAATGGGGTCTCAGTTAACACTAAGATTATACGATAAGTACAACAAAATGCTCTGTGAACAGCTACAGAAATTATAACCTAAAGAGACAAACCCTTTGCTCTTCCAATAAGATATTCAATTGCTCCCTACGTTAATGCTCACCATGAGAAGTGTTCCCACCATTAAATCTCCAGGTAAGAGTAAAGGTTAACCTTCTACTTAATCAGGACAATGTCATTTGATTTGTCTGATGCCTGTGTCTGCTGGCTGGCTTTATTTTGCTATACTATTAGTGTTATTGAGCATTTGCCATGGACCAAACACTATGCTAGGCTCTGGCCTTAACCCGAGAAACAGAGCATTTCCTTGCCTTTAGTAGGTAAAAATGGCCCAGGAGAGCTACCTTCGCATGCCTACATTCATGGCTCTGCAGCCAAGGGTGAAACGATGGCCTGACCAGGGCAGATCACCCAAGCTGCCAGAGGAGCAGCTGAAGTCCATGCCCGGCAGGGGCAAGCATCAGTGATCAGCAGCAGCAAAGGGCAGCACAATGTCCAGGGGCTTTGGAGAGCCAGGGGCTGAGTGTAGCCCCGCTCACAGCCACCTTCTCTCCTGTCTTCGGCCAGTCTCAGATCTGAACTGACTCCCTGAGCCAAGAGAGACCGAACATTAGGAATGAGGTCATTTTCTTCTAAAGACGTTCCTCTTTTTCACTAGATTTCTCTACCACCAAAATTCCAAGTGAAATCTTAGAGCAAGCCACCTTGGATTAAAGTCTTTGCAAGGCCAGGACTAATCATGGATTGTTGGTGTTTTCTGGGCTGTTGATATTTCATCTAGAAAATTAAATTGGCTAGCCTGGATGTCTTTGAATATCCTTCTAGACCTAAAATTTTGTAGCCGCATGTGAACTTGCCATATTTAATGAATAGGAATATAAGGTGTCCACTAGAATTGAGTCGTGAGTAAACAATGAATGCATTTGTATACATGTGTTCTCATACCCTTTCTTTGGAAGGCCATCCTAATTCTCCAGGATGCAAACAAGGATTCCAGCCCAGGGGGAATATCAGTTCTTAGGGAAAAGTTTGCAGAGTTGCTCACATTCTTCAGCGGGTTTGTATCAGTAAACATGGGCTCTCCTCGGTGGCCTAACCTCTTTTACTGTGAGTAGACCGAGTGGCTGTTGCAGAGAGGGGAGGAAGGGAAAAATCCTATGTCTCAGCAGGATGGCTTACAAAAATGTGATTAGTAATAAATGCGGGTCCAAGCATCCCAGACATCCCTCCTGATACTGGCCAGATGGTTAACTAGCACCACAGAGAGGCAAAGCTAAAGGAGACAGAAGGAAGAAGGCAGGGGAGAGCCTAAATCTCTCTGTTAGATAATCAGGAACATATGAGTTTTAAAATGTAGCTTGATGTCCAACTGGGGAGAAAAAAAAATGAAGCTGCCAGCAGAGATTAAGGTCTGGGTAGAACAAACGACTGCAGGGGAAGACTAAAGTCACAGACCACACACACACACACACACACCTGTGAAACATCTCTGAGGTTTGCTTCTTTCTCCCTTATATGTTGGTTTTTATTCTCTGGTAGGCAGTATGGCTAGAGTTATTCCCACCCAAGCCTGATGAGTAGGCTTAGCAGGGAGGACTGGTTCAACGGGACGTACCATGACAATAGAGGCTAAACAGACGTGGACCGAAGTTCCCAACATCATGTACTGACACTGGCTGTTTCTTCTTCATCAGGAACTCTAATTAGCTTTTCTGTTTCCTTTTTATTAGTTGACATAGGAAATGAGTAATTTATCATTTAATAAAGTCAGTGTTGTTACACACTTGCCTTTAAAATATTAAGGATACACAAGGGAGGTAATGGGGAATTTGAGGAATACTGTTTTGACAAACATTTATTGAAGTTCTACCCTGAATTAGACCCTGCATTGCACGAGCTAAACCTCACTCTGAAAGGCAGGGGTCATTTCTTATAGGAAGGGAAAATTGTATCGGAGGCTCAGGAAAGTTAGCGGTTTGGCTGAGATTGGTCCTAATTTGCAGAAGGTTGATCCTAATTTGCAAGTGATCAGTTGGAAATACCAACTCCTATCATCCTACTACAAGGTCAACACTGGTTCTTTACATTTTTTTTTCAAGGCAAAGAAGCTAACTTGCTAATGCAAAATCTGAACAAGCTGCAAACAGCCGAAGAAAAGCTTGATTTTTTATTCAAGAAGTATGCTGAGTTGGTAAGAGCTTTGATCTGTTCTTTCTGTCAGAAACTCCCAGCTCTAGTCAGTGCTGAGAAGAGGAAACCCCAGCTTTTCATGGACATCATTACAGAACACAGCTAGTTACCACAAACAAGTCCAAACCAGATTCATGGAATTCTGGAAGGAAAGTATTTTTAAGGAAAATGGAAAGCTGAGATGTAACAATAGAAAGGAAAAAGAAGGTCGGGTGGTGGAGGTGCAGGCCTATTTTCCCAGCATTCAGGAGGCATAGGCAGGCAGATCTTTATGGGTGAGTTCGAGGCCAGCCTGGTCTACAAGAGCTAGTTCCAGAACAACTAGAACTGTTACACAGAGAAATCCTGTCTTGAAAATCCAAAAAAGGGGGGAGGGGAAGGTAATGGTCTCTGTTTCATTATGTGCATCATTTGGGGGGCAGGCAAGAAAAGGGGAGTAGAGATCATTTAAATCTGTAGACATTTTAAAGCTCCTGTCAACTTCAAAGAAAAAAAAACACTGTCTCTGTAGTGGCATTTCATTTGTATTTTAATACATAAAGCTTGCCTAAAGATCAGAAAAGTAAACAGCCATACTGGCCAGCCTTACAGACCAGGCAGGAATGATACACACCTTGAATCCCAGTAGCCACTATGGCCTGGTTTCAATGGCAAGCTAGTGTGGCTACTGGGATTAAAGGTGTGTGTCACCACTGCCTGGTCTGTGAGGCTGGCCAGTATGGCTGCTTTACTTTTCTGATCTTCAGGCAAGCTTTCTTTATTAAAATGCAAATAAAATGCTACTACATGTTTCTATAAAGATAAATAAATATTAAGCTTTTATTCAGATTCTATAACCACGTTATATCAAGGGCTACAAGGGAAAGTTTAGAGCAGAGTTAAGGCCACTTCACAGATCATGGCCCTTTCTTGTCTGGCCTGAGCCATTTCTTCAGTTGTCTTCTGAAGAGTGCTCCCCATTCGTTCCCTTCTCTACAAAGACAAGGTCCTCTATGGGGTTGTTTAGTGCCCAGCTCCATGTCCTCCACAGACTCCTCACTCTCCATACTCAGGGTCCTGGGAGCAAAGGACGCTGCTTCAAACCATCCATGAATCCCAGAAGGTTATCATCTTCTCTTCTGTGCTTTAATTGGCCTTTGGAGAAAAGGAAGGGCTTGGTGAGGACAGTGCTCTGGTATCAAGGAAGCCTCACGGATACCCTGCTGTGATGAGCAGGAAAGGGCAGTCAAATGGTACCATCTGAGGTCTGTACACCACTCTCCTCCTTTACTCCCAGAAACGAGACAGCAAGCTGCTTTATAACTTATTATCATTATCATTGATAATTTAATTAATAATATTTAAATAATATAATAATTTATTATTAATTTAAATAATATTTATTGTTGATTGTTATTTCTTTTTAAGAAAGTCACTGACATGTCTCTTCTGGAGAAGCAGCAACACACAAACGAGGCTCTACTCAGCACAGAACTTTGTCCCGGCAGGAGTTGAACCACCTCCCCTCCCTGGGTAGATGTATTTTACATCTAAGGATGCTCCCGGTGGGGGCCTCCCACTAGTAGCATCGGGTCCATAAACTCCATGCCTGTTGATGGTTTGTCTTTCACTGACTCTCGTCTTGTCATCCCCATGTGTTCTTTCCTTTCTTCTGTCTTGACACATGCTGGTGTGCTGAATGGTGATGCCATCAACACAATACAATTCTAAACCCCCAAGTGCCAAGCTGATGGCCTAACTTTCAGTTATTTTTAATCATACAAACCACATCACAATGGCGTAAGAGTTCCAAAGACACAACATGCTATCTCCAATCCATCATCTAAACACAAGTTCTGTTTTATACCTGATGTTCTCCAGCTGAATACAGCCGGTGATGGAGTCACTCCTGTCATGCGGTATGGACAAGCTGATATTTTGTTTTCTTGGCTCATGTGACACCTTCCCATGTAGTTCAGTCTACATATGCACATTTTGTTAAAGTTGGGTCATAATCCATTAAGTGACTCTATGTGCTGATCCACCCATGTGGCAGACAATGTCCTCCCACATCCAAAAACACTGCCACAGTGAACGCCATCATTTATTAGACTTGTTCCTTCTCCATTAAGATTTTAAGAAAAAGTTAGTTAGATCAAACAGGATGAATGTTTGTTTTTTTTCAGTTTTATGGCCATGTTGCTTGCCAAAAGAAGGGTTGAAATTTACAAAGCAATTTAACATTGGCTATTAGCAATTTAAATTTGCATGACGTAAGCTGGAAGCCAAAGATCTTTCTCCCCCATATCTGGGCTGCATTCTCTCATGTACACCACACGACTCTCACTTACGTATCTTTGTTATGTTTTTCAGTATTTTCTGTACTGTCTGCCCATCCTCTCCTCAACTAAACTACTACACACCAAGGCCATTACTGTTCATTTTCTAGCACCATATGCTATGCTTGGCAGGACCAGGAAGTACTCCTGACTGGCACCGGACACCAGTTTACAACGCTACATTGGCACAGCAGTACACTGGAGAAGAATTGCTTCTCCAGTCTGAGGGAGATTTCTCCAAGAGCCAGAGCTATTTACCCTGGTCCCAGGAAATCCCTGTACCTACCTGCTGTTCTAACCAGACCACCCCAACAGAGACAAGCCAGTTCAAGCCTTACAACATTTGTCTTATGCCCTATAACAAACTTTAAGACCTAAAAGATACTTCTCAAAAACTGACCCAAGAGACTAATTATATTTTTTTCAGGGGAAAAAATCATGAAAAATTTTAATTATTTACTTGGAGATAAAAGCTTATTTCCTTGCTCATTGATTAGCATATTAGTATAGAAAATGTCTGAAATATAGTGGTTAAAATGGAGAAAATTGTCAACGCCAATTCTTCAAAGCAAGCTGCCACTCTACTTCACTCACGCTTACAGAGTCTGAAGCCAGTAATATTATCTGCCATGTGTTCATCAATAAATAAGGACAAATTCATTAATAAGTAAGGATACTTCATGACTATATTCAGAAATGGCCTTAGAAAAATATTTTCTGGAAATTACCTCAACTTCTATATACTCAATTTTAATTTAGTCAATGGCACTAATGACCTATAGTCAGTACTGGACTGAGGCTGACTTGGATGAATTATACTCACTTTCATTCATAAAAGCCCCTGCGTTCATATAAAAGCATAGAAGTCTGAACTATCTGAAAAAAAAATCACCTAGACACTAAAAAGTGCAGGAAGTTCAGTGTCTTTCATTTTAATAGATTTAAGGAAAATAGATCTGGCTAAAGTTTTAATGTGCATGATCCCATAACACAGTCAAAGATTAAATAAAGCAAAGGGTAAATCATCTGTCTTCTGACTTAGAAAGCACATAAAGTATATATTTGCTTCAGGACGCACACACACACACACACACACACACACACACACACACACACACATAAACTTTAGTCTTGTCTACCAAGGAGCAATAGGTGTCTCTGCCTGAAGATATTCCTGCATATCACAATTAGATACATTACTGACACACAGTAGATGGAGGGGCCCAGGTTGGTGGTATCATAATAGCCTATAATACAGAGGATTTTGCACAATATAAAAATATGTCCCATTGTGTCAACAATGCTGGAATTAAAAAGTTTTGACATGGCTTAGCTCTCAAAAATAAATTTATAATGGCAATACAATACATCAGTTTCAAGGAAGAAAAATCTTGCTATAATCATGGGAAATTTTAACTTGTCTGATCACTATGGTAAAAAATGAAATGGCTACAGCTATTTTATAAACAAGAGTTCAGCATGAGAAATACACAGTGTAGGACCACAAGCTTTTCAAGAAGGATGATAATACAAATCATTATTTCTAGCAACATGGTTCACTTTTTCCAAAATTAATTTCTAAAAAGTAGAAATTGCTCATGGGTATGAACTTAAAATATCAAATGTGCATACTCTTGGCTTCATCTGAAGAGGGTTTTAATGGTTATTCACTATGGTAGTAGAAAAAGAATAAAACAAGATATGAATTGAAGAAAGTGCGACAATTTTCAAATAGTTCAGAGGGGATAAAGACTTTTAAAATATGGAAACTAAGATGCGGTCAAGATCCACGTGGAATGTGCATCATTTCCATCAGGCTCTGTGAGGTACCAGGAACACCTGACATCTAAAAAAACCCACAGACTCCCCAGGGATTTTCTTTGCTCTCAGCCAATATGGCTATTAATATAACAAGTTCCTTCCTGGCTTAAGCAATACCCAGGCACAAAAGAAACCCAAGTCCAGTAGAGTGAACAATTCTAGACCAAAGTCTGCTGCTTGGATGTGATCGATCACACTAGTGTTCAGACTGGTACTCCTAGAGTCTACTGGTCTCTCTGGTGGCTTCTGGAGGCTGTTTCCCATGCTTCTTCCATTAGAACTGAGATCTCATGATTATGTTGCCAGATTTAGCAAATAAAGATAAAAGAACTTTACACTTTAGAGAATGAGCAATTTTTAGTAAAAATATGGCCCACTCAAGATCTGTATATACTTAAGCTAAAATTATTCCTTGCTATCTGAAATTTCAATTTATTTAGGCATCCTGTATTGTATCTGGCAACCCTACATTCATATTTTAGCATCCCAACATGGGCAGTAGGGGAATAAAGTATATCTGGATGGTCAGAAACAAGGGTCATGATGTCTTTTCTGTAGTCACGAGAGGTTGGGGACAGAGTTGGATAGCAGGGAATATTGTAAATATTCGCCTTTTGTGCCACTCTCTTGTGCCATGGCTTTTTCAGAAAATAAAAATCAAGGCTCACGTGTTTAGGTGTTGTACTTTCTGTTGCTTTTCTCTACCCAAAGAGTCCACATCTAAAGCCCCCAAATACAAAGACGATAACTGCGTTTTATGTTTTACCAGGGGGCTGTTTCTCTCACTGTTGGCTTATTTTGAGACAGAGTTATGAGAGTGATATGTGAACCAAGCAAACAAATCATTGGCTGTGCTCTGAATACAAGATAGTGCCATGAACTCCAGCAATTTCCAGATCCTCAAGCATGTCTTTATTTTATGGACAGTAATAGACAGAAACAAAGAAAACATTTCTAGACATCCAAAAATAAAATCCAACAGTCAAATAAAGAAGAGGCTAATAGAAGTAATAGTTATGAAAAAATCACATATTATGATTTTTCATAAATCATAAAAATCATATTGTGCTCTACAAACTTGTTATGGAACAATGCTCTTGTATATTATAAAGATTTGTCACTTGTATTGGCTTAATAAAAAGCTGATTGGCCAGTTAACCGGGCAGGAAATATAGGTGGGGCAACCAGAGTAAGAGAATTCTGAGAAGAGGAAGGCAGAGTCAGTCACCAGCCAGATGCAGAGGAAGCAAGATGAGAATGCCTCACTGAGAAAAATGTGGCTAAACATAGACAAGAGCTTTGGGTTAATTTAAGTTGTAAGAGTTAGTTAATAATAAGCTGAGCTAATAGGCCAAACATTTTATAATTAATATAATTTTCTGTGTGTTTCTTTGGGACTGAAAGGCTGCGGGACTGGGTGGGCCAGAAGCTTCTATGTACACATTATACAGGAGTGGCAGTTATGAAGTCATGAGATGCTAGAAAGGCAGATAATGACAAAAAATATAGTTCAAATAACCACACAGAAAGTCCTTGGGCTTTTCCTCTTCCCTGTTAACCGTAAAGACATTTCTGGCAATTTCTTTGCTGCTTGCACCCCCATGTCTAGCTGGATGAACATCGTGCAGAGCAGAAGAAGCTAAAGCTCCTGCGGAAGCAGCAAGCACAGACCCAGAGAGAGAAGGACCAGCTGCAGAGTGAACACAACCGAGCCATCCTCGCTCGAAGCAAACTCGAGAGTCTGTGTCGGGAGCTGCAGAGGCACAACAAGACACTGAAGGTATGTGGTACCCTGGCTTGGGATGACACGTTTCTTAGCTAGTTGCATAAATACAGGCCTCGGCTCCCTGGAGAAACGATGACTTACAGCCAGAGAGAAGTGCAGTCAAATGCTGGATCTGACACTTGCTCATTTGTGATCTTCAAGTTTTTACCTCTGTAAATGGCTTCTCCCATCATCCGATTGTGTGGCTGGAAGGGAAAAACTAAATGAAATTCCACATGCAAGGGACCAATGCACGACAGCAGTGCAGGCCCAGAGGAAAATAAGTGCCATTCCTCTCTTTCTTGCTAGGTTGAGTTTTTTTGTTTGTTTTGATTGACTGATTGTTTAGATAGCCCTTCATTTATTATTGAATTATTTTTATTTTTACTTTAAGTGTCTGGGTATTTTCCCAGCATGTACGTCTGTGCACCACATGTGTTCCTGGTGCCTGAGGACATCAGAAGAAGTCATAGAAACTAGCATCGTAGATAGTTGCACTCTGCCATGCGGGTGCTGGGAATTGAACACAGGTCCTTTGGGAGAGCAGCCAACGCTCAACCCTCGAACCATCTCTCCATCCTTCAATCACCTCTTAAAAAATTGCAAAAATTCAGCATTTATAATTATTTACTGAATTCTACATAATAGGGCATAGACACAAAGCTAATTGACATGCTAAAGTGAGGTGGTGAGCCAAAAATATCAATAATTGTCTGAGAAAAGAGGCTACTTTAACAAACACTGACTGGCTCTTTAAGATTTAATGACTCAATTTAAAAATAATAGACTAATCACCTCATTATGTCTGCATGGGTTTCATCAATTACAGCATGGGTCCCTAGAAGTGTATTTAATTTGATTACCAGCTCCATTCAAAAGTAAGACGTAGGGCTCTTCCAAATAAGTCAACTTGCCTCCACAGTCCTCTTTCCAGTGGTAGATCCCAAGGCGGCAGACACACAGTAATTAATCAGACAATATTCCTGCAGGGACATTATTACTATATCTGTTTACAAGGAGATTCTTAAAAAAATATAACAGACATTAAGATCATTAACTATTTTGACGAGCAGGAAAAAAAATAGTGGTTCGTCATTGCTGAATTATCTTGTCATTTTGGGAAATGAGAAGCTAATGTGATGAACTGTGACTTTCACATTGCAAGGTCCAGAGGATGGACATCTGGGCTTTCTTCAATGATTGTGTTAAGAACCACCAGAAATCCAGGTTAGATGGAGGCCTGAAGACAGGTGCATCATCTTCAACTCACAGGATAGTGTTCTGTGTTTACAAAAGACATCAGTCTTTCCATAACGTCATACGGTGAAGAGATGGAAATTAAATCAGATAGGGTGGGGAATGTGTTAGTGAAAGGTTCCAAGGGAGAAGAGTGTGGCTTTGACCCTTTAGGACTTTGCATGTGATGTCACTTGGTCTACACAAATGGCCTTCAGGGAGTTTATATCTCTACTGACAAGGAAATGCAGTGATTCTAATCAATAATTTAAAGTGTCAATATAAGAATTTAAAAACAAAATACTAATCTATCTTGGATTATTTGTCCATGGGCTGGGACATATTTAATTTGTATTGTTTATCGTATATGGAGTAGATTTAATTTGTATAGTGCACTATAGGCGGAGACTGCTTGTTCATTCCCAGCTGCCCAGGCCCAAAATAATTACACAGAAACTATATTAATTACAACACTGCTTGGCCTATTAGCTTAAGCTTCTTATTAACTAATTCTTACATCTTAAATTAACTCATTCCTATTATTTTGTATTTTACCATGAGGCTTATGGTTTACCGGTAAGGTCCCTGGTATTTGTCTCCTTCAGTGGCTACATAGCATCTCCCTGACTCCACCTACTTTCTCTATATATCTCTGCTTGGAATTCCCACCTTGCTCTATTCTGTGCTAGCATAGGCTCAAAGAAGATTCTTTATTAACTAATGGTAACAAAGCACATTCACAGCATACAGAGGGAAATCCCACATCAGCCCCTCATGGATATTCTCTCTTGATGGACAACCAGTGTATGCATTATTCCTTAAGCCACAACTAGCTTTGGAACTGTCAGTATAATCAACAGTCTACTTCTTTCAAATACATCATTACTTCTACTGACGTTAGTTTTACCATGGTCACCTTCTGTCTTTTTAAATAACTGATTGTTTTGTCATTAAGAACGTTCCCGTAATAATCTTTATTTTGATATTTACATTTTTTGACGTTAATACAGCCCTTTAAGTTTTCTTTTTTTTGTTTGTTTGCACAGTATATCTCCTTTCATCTGCTCATTTTCTACCTGGGTCTATAAAATACATAACTCACAAAGACAGGATAAAGCTATATACTGATTCTTTTCATAGGCACGGCATCTGCCTTTAACTGGGGTACCAGTACCTTAACAATAAACATGGTATTTTCTATGTTTACTGTGACTGATATGACTGAATTAAATAGTAAATACCATGTTTATTTGTTTACAACATACATAACCTCTCTCTAACCTCAGAACTGTATAACCTCAACCTTTCTCTCTTCTGTTCTTTTATTTATTTCCTGCCTTCCAATTTGAAGAGTCTTTCTTTTTTAATTTATCTCTTGGATTTAAAAATTATACCTCCTTTCATTATTTACAGTGGTTAATCTATGGTTACAATCAACATTTTTAGTTAAATTCCTAGTCTAGAGTTAATATTAAACCACATCACATACATAGAAACACTAAAGCTAAGTAAGTGCAATTATTTCCATCTCTAAGCTAGACTCTTCCAAGTATATGTATTTATAAAGTCCATGAGACAACAATATCATTTTTTTGTCTTTACTATCATCTGTATTCCTTAAAAAATGAAAAAGAAAACTGACTTTTATCTGTTCCCAGATACTGGACTTTCCTCATGCCTTTTTTATTTGGTCTAAAACAACATTGCTCTGTCTGGCACCATTTCCTCTCAGCCTAAAGAGCTCCCCAATAGAGTTTGTTGGATTCTAGCTCGGCTGGCAATCAATTCTCTTAGTTGTCCTTTATCTTTAAGATGTCTTTTATTTATTCGTTGCTCTTCCTATTGAGAACAGTAATTATTGGACATTGAAGCTGACCATTGATGGCATCTGTCTATGGATCTTCCATTTTATTCTGGCCTCCATTTTTCTGATGATGGCAGCAGCAGTAACTTGAGCTGTTACTCCTTCTCCTATGACATGTCATTTTTCTATGTCTATTTTCAAAGTCTTTCTAGTAATTTTTTACTTTAAGAAGCTTCATATCTACTAATGGTTTTGTTTTTAATTAAAAAATGCTACGTATATGAGTGTAAGTATACCATATATGTGTGGTACTTACGGAGGCCAGAAGAGGGTGATGGATCTCCTGAAGCTGCAATTAGATGGTTCTGAACTGCCCCGTGGATACTGGGAATCAAACCCAAAAACTCTGCAAAAGCAGACAGTGCTCCTAACCACTGAGCCATCTCTTCAATACCTAAAGGTTTTCTTTACATATATTCCACTTGGTATTTGCTGAGCTTTATGTATCTGTGTTTTTTTTTTTTACCAAACTTGGAATTTTCTCATGTTATTTCTTCAAATATATTTGTTAATTCATGTTCTCCTCCTTCCCCTCTCCTGAGATTCTAATTGCATGTCTACCAACCATGTGACAGTGTCCCACAGCCACCTTCTTGCCTTCTTCAAGTTTCTGATCAGGTCACTTCATTGTCCTTTCTCTGTTATCTCTACTATGCTCTAGGTCCATAGAATGATTTTTAAATTTCTAACTACAGAGTTTTAAGTTTCAGGACTCTGACTTGCTAAAGATTATTTTTCTTGTCTGAGATTTCCTGTTTTTAATTCATTGGAAAATATTTCCCTTAACATCACTGAAGAGAATTATAACACCAGTTTTATAATTCTTTCTTGTTCTTTTCACATTTGGACCATTGTAAAACAAGTTGTTTATTTGCTTGCTGTCTTTCTTTTGATAATGTGCCAATTTTTTTGGTAGGGTTTTCATATGTCAGCTCATTGCCAACTGTCCTAGATGTCATTGTCCTAGATGGTATGACAATATAAAGACTCGAGATTTTATTATCATGTTATTTGACCTTCTGATGCTATAATAAAACACCTTACAGAAATCAACTTAAAGGAGGACAAGTTTACTTTGGCTCACAGTTTCAGAGATTTCAGTCCATGGTCATTTGCTGCCTGATTCTGGGCCAAGATGAAGAAGAGCATCATCATCAGGAGCACACAATAGAGAAAGTTGATCACCTTAAAGTGGAAAGGAGGCAGAAACTTCCAGAAAAGGGCTCCAGAGACAAGACAGACCTTCAAAAGAATGCACCAGAAGCCTACTTCCTCCAGCCAAGGCCCACTTCTCACCAATGATTCAGCTACAAAGGCATCAGTGGATTAATCCACAGTAGATGCAATTAGCATTGTCATGGTAGAATCACCTCTCAAAACCCAGCCATCTGAGGGACAGACTTCCAACACATGAGGTTTTGGAGTATACACTACATATATAAACCCCAACTATACTCTTCTGGAAAATGTTGACGATTTTAATTCAGTTAGTATGGTGGCTTCAAATACAAACTTTTGTCTCTTGGACAGTGTAGTGCCTGCACTACGGGATGTTACACAAGCCAGGAACTAGGCTGGAGATTTAAAAACATACACACACAGACAGAGACACAGGGACACAGGTCATCCTTGAAACAAGAATGCCAACTTTATTGTGCTCCAGGGATCCTTAACTGATAACCACGCCCCAGCTCTGGGGATCTTTCAGCTGCAAAACCCACCAGAATTCACTTCTCTGCCACCAGGAACTCATGAGGGTCTCATGCTCAGAGCAGCTGCAGGCACAGGAAAACAAGTTGTTTTGCCCAGTTCACTCCAGCAGGCAAAGGGTCTGAGGCAGGCAAAGAAAGTCAAGGGGCCAGGGGTCTGCAGCCCCCATCAGGACAGCAGTCCAAATGTCCGTTCAGTTTTTTTCCTTAGCTGGATTGCTTTGAGTCCATCCTGCAGAAGTGTAGATCAGTGTCGCTCATAGATTGGAGAATTTTCTCCATAGACTTCAGGTTTTTCTCCCTCTGTGACTCTATTCTTTGAACTTCCTTCTCATCTTTCAGTGGTTATCCAGTTTCCCAGAATTTTGCACTCTTCTTCCTATATGCAAGATGGTAGATGTTCTAGGGAAGGTGAACATATCCCAGTCTGTTTCCAGGTCTTCCTACAAGCTCAAATCTGTTTAAAGGGGGAAAGGGTGAGAAACTTACATTATATCAAGTGCTAATTGGCCTCCGGAGTCCAAGACTGTTCTTTGTAGAAAACTGAACTTGGCATGGCCTTCTTTGGCCATGCTATTAGGGCAGTCTCAGAACGTGGCTTTAAAGTCCAAGCTTTAGAAGCTTGGGAAGGCATGGAAAAAGAATGCAGAGTCAGGCCTTTCAACCACCATACATTCCTTATAAAGTGTCGTTCCCTCCCCCCCAGTGAGCGAAACACAAACACAAACCTTAACAATTTGGGATAATTGGAAAAAGGCCAGTGAAGGGTCTTAGCCAGGTACTTGTTTCGGCAACTCCAACAAGTACTTAAAGGAGTACATTTTGAGCCTGGAACTATATTGAAAAAGAACATTTTGCTAAATTGTGGGTGGGTTGCTTAAGGAATATAATTTTGGTAAATAAATAAGTGGTATTTGTTAACAGACTATCAAGGTATTTTAATGTGGAAAGAACTATCGAAATCATCCCATCCAAGCTACTCATGTGTCTGCACACAAGTTAATAATGTATCAATCATTAAATAAACATTTACTGAATACCTATGGATTATGCACCAGGCACGGCATCAGTTTTAAGATATGTGATGTTGCTTGCAAAGTCGTTTTCAGCTTTTGTCTCTCAGTCATAGTAATATCTACTTTGCATATATTCTTGATTATTTAAAAAATGATCTCAGACATTGTCCAAGTGACAGCAAGTTATTTATTAATGAAATCAATTTAATAACATTTAGCAACATTTTTTTTATCTAGCTGCAAAAACAACATAGTTAGGAATGTTGTTATTTGGGAGGATGAGGCAGGAGGGACATAAGTTCAAAGATAGTCTGGGCTACCTCACAAGACCTTGTATTCCTCCTCCTATTAAAAGCAGGGGAGGCAATACAGTACAAAATTCAAGCTGACATTTAATAAAACAGAACTGAGTGGCTTGACACATGTTTAATACAACTCGCTAACATCTGGAAAATCTCAAATGTTCTCAGGAGCATGACATAGCTTTTTCCACTCACACATGGAATCTTTATAAATAAAAATGAAATTAAGTACATGGTCTATAGTCCAATAATTCATAATTTTGGGACTTTTAAATATATCAGAAGCAATGAATGTCTTACTCTTTCACTGATAGTTGTAATCATTTTTAGTGATATATGTAATAAGAATTGGTATACAAAGATAAATAGTATTTCAAATAGTCTTTAGATTAAGAAGTGTCGTTTTTCTTTTATTTTCTATTTATTTACTTTTTTGTTGTTTTTTTGAGACAGGGTTTCTCTGAAGCTTTGGAGCCTGTCCTGGAACTAGCTCTTGTAGATCCATGCTAGCCTCAAACTCACAGATATCTGCCTGCCTCTGCCTCCTGAGTGCTGGGATTCAAGGCGTGCACCACCACTGCCCAGCTGCAGAAAGTGTCTTTTATAATATCTCTGAGAAGCTGCAGCATGAAGAAGTTACAATTCTCGTAGCCAACAAGTCAAGCAATATGCTAATATTATATAGGAAAGTTGGAAATGAGTGTTAAATAAAAATACTTCCAGAGCATATATTTTCCAGATCAGTTTCTGTTTTGATCACATTGTTCTATCCCAATAATGACTTGTGCAATTACTCCTGCTAAAATAATTTTCTCTTTTTAAATCCTGTTACATAATTTGAAGTTGGTAGGCAACTAAATGCAGTGTAATTTTACTTGCCAACAACGAAGCAAGCTTTCCTATTAACAATTAACCAGGACTGAAAGGAATCCGAAAATGTACGTATCATCTGTCAGCAGTGAAAACGTGTCTATCTTGGGGATAATATAGCAAGAGCAAACCCCCTATTGTAAAGGGATGAAAGGAACAATTAATTACAATGCAGATAGTTCTTAGTATAGAGAGAGGAATCTGGGCACATTATTAGTAGTCAGCAATGAATGTGGAGTTTTGATGTAAGAGGAAAAAGAACAAAAATAACACAAAGCAAACTTCCAGTTTCTTGATGGTAACTAGTGGTGGGGGGGGGCTGATAAACTGTTTCATTGTTACCATTTTAGAGTTAAAGAGATTTCAAACTTATGGCCTCCTAATTCAAAATTTACAGCGCAGGTATTTTAGTTATCCCAAATGACACCTAAAATGATAGTTCTGTCTAGAAATAAAACATCCATCATATTTGGGAAGATTTCCTTTTATATTTTTTAATGTGTATCAAAGCTTCCTGATAATACCTTTTCTTATTAAGAACACTTGGTGCTCTTGCAAAGGGCCCAACTTCAGTCCCCAGCATCCATGTGCGGCAACTCACAATCACCTGTAACTTCAGTTCCAGGAATCAACACCTTCTTCTGGCCTCTCTGGGTACCCACATGTATGTGACATATACATATACAGAGTCATACACATAAATAAAAATAAAACCTAAAAGAAATAAAAAAGTTTATATTATGATCACTTATTCTTATATAACCTGGGTGATACAATTATGTGGTCAGTATTCCTTGGCTTTACATTGATCGCTTTCCACCTCATAGCAACACAGCAGTCAAACAACTCATGATCTATGACCATCGCTCGCCAAATCCCAGTGGTCTTTTTTCCAGGGCACAACTAAGAGATCAAAGCTTTGTGACTATGTGACTGTCTGTCAGAAGTCACTGCTGGCCTTCCACTCGGCAGGAGACTGCCGTCTTTACGGAAGCCTGCTCATCACTGAGCATTGCCTATGTCTGTACTGGGAGTGCCCTCATACATATATTTAGGGATTGGGCAACTTTAGCTGCAGAGAACTGAAGAGAAACACCCCACTTGCTCTGCTCAATGGTTCTCTCTGAGACCTTACCCGGAGGCCTCTAATCATGGGCGCTTTCTAAACCCGCACAACTGTCCTATTCATCCACAGGAGGAAACCCTCCAACGGGCACGTGAGGAGGAAGAGAAGAGGAAGGAGATCACGAGTCATTTTCAGACTACCCTGACAGATATCCAGACTCAGATCGAGCAACAGAGTGAGCGAAATATGAAGCTCTGCCAGGAGAACACGGAGCTCGCAGAGAAGCTGAAAAGCATCATTGACCAGTATGAGCTCAGGGAGGAGGTGAGAACTACATCACATCACACAGCCCACAGAACTGTGCACAGGCCCAGGTCTGGGTTGTGAGAGGGAGGGGCTTGGCTAAGAGACAATTCATGGTCAGCCCTCTTGATTAATTAATAGTTAAGGTTGGGTTTCTTTTACTAACCAAAATAAAAGCAGGCAATCCTACAAAACACCTGGCTGAACTCACTTCGAAATAAAAGCAGTAAACCTAAAGTGGTAGGCCGTGGGCACACTTATCCTGCACAGTACTTTGGCCCTTTAAAAATCCTTTCCATGTGGACAAAAGATAATTCTACTGTCTTCGTTAGGATCACCATGCCATCTCAATTAACAAGCTGATACTAGCATTAATAATGTAATAATTATAATATCATTTATTTAGTGTTTAATTCGTGTTAAGCAATGTATTAGGCAATATACTTTGCACACAATATGTCATTTGTCTCAATTTTACTATCAAACAGAAAACACTATCTATAGAAGTTACTTTATATAACTTTTTTGTGTGACCAAACATCTAACAAAAAGCAGTAGAAGGAAGGCAAGGTAAGTCCTGGCTTACAGTTTTGGAAGATTATTCCACTGTGGCATAGAAAACATGGGAGTAGGAAGGGAAGGAATGGTGACCAGAGCAGGTAGCCAGCTGGTTCCACTGGGTCTACGGATAGAAAATATAGAACAATGGTTTCCAATGCTCAGATCAGCCAGGACTCCAGGCCATGAAATGGCACCATCCACAGTTAAGGTGGGTCTTCCCGCCTCAATTAAGCTAACCAAGCTAGATAATACCTCACAGGTGTACCCAGAAATTAACCAAACGTAGACAGTCCCTCATAGGCAAACCCAGAAGTTAACCAAATGTAGACAGTCCCTCACAGGCATGCCCAGAAGTTAACCAAACGTAGACAGTCCCTCGAAGGGAGAGGCTTTTCTTCCCCAGTGAGTCTGGATCCCATCAAATTATCAAAATTAGCTACCACACTATCATTTCCACATTTTATGTATGAATTCAGCAGCCTGGAAACTAGATCACTTACGGTCACAAAGATTTTCATTTTCAGTATTTTACATTGAGACGACAAGCAGCTGGGTTGGTAATATGCTATGATTTTATCCAGAAAATAATATTTGAGTCAGGACCGCATGATCACAGCAGTTAGGGAACCCCTCACAGCAAGCCATAATGTTTAGCTATCTTCTCTTGTCACAAGGTTTGATTCCATCCAGGATAGAGGTGTAAAGGAGAAAGGAAGAACCAAAGGCAAAATGTCTATTCTCCTGTCATATGCCTATGACGTCTGTCACCTCCACCTTTTGAAGCTTCCTCTGAACAATGCAAAGAAGGGGGGAGCTCTCACCAATTTATGGCTTTAATATAAAGCCCTTAGTGAGGCCAGAGTGTTTATTCCTTAGAATGATAAAGACTAGGAAATTTGTATTCATGTGAGTTATTTTCCATCTTTGCTTTTCTAATCATTGCTCATAAGCCTGGCTTTTATGCGTTCTTTTCCCTTAGCATCTGGACAAAATATTTAAACACAGAGAACTGCAGCAGAAGCTGGTGGATGCGAAACTTGAACAGGCCCAAGAAATGATGCAGGAAGCAGAGGAACGGCACAGACGGGAAAAGGAATATGTATTTATCCTTTTAGTCGGTGTTCATATGCAATTCATCTCATTGTCAGGGACTCTCTAGGAAAGCTGTCTGACGATGGCAGATCGCTACACTCACTTAAAAGCCCAGGCATCTGTGGGGAAGTCAATGGGCTAGCCCAGTAGGAGACACTGGGCCTATCCCATTATTCACACAGAACAGTCATTCAGCATCCTCAACAAGTGTTTTTCAAGTGCCTATTATCTGCTGAGAGCATCTGAGGCGTTAGATAATAGCTGGGAAGAAGACAGAGAAGGGCCATCTCCTACCAGGAGGATTAGAGGCTGAGTGGGAAGAGACAAGCAGTAACAAGCAAAACAGGAAGGGTATTTAGATAATAGTAAGTTATTAGGCAAATAAGGAAGGCCTGAGGTGGTGCTGAAGGGGGCCTTCCTTAGACTGAGTGATCAGGACAGGCAGGGAGGGTGTATGAGCCATGTCTTCTGAGGAACTGGCTCATGGGAGTCTTCTCCAGCAGTGGTATCTTGTCACCAACAAGGTTTGATGTTAGACCTACCACGGCATCCCCCACACTCAGGAGAGGGCCAGAGAAGGTGGAGGAAGTGGAGAAATATTCAAGATGTGGGGGTAATCAGGGTACAACTGTGTAGCTTTGTAGGGTTTGGGGAAGCGGTTGGATCTTATTCCAAATTTAATGGGAAATGACTGAGCCATTCTAGAAAAGGAAGTGACATCATCAGCTCCCATGTGTACAGGTTAATGTGTCTCCTGAATGGAAAGTGGACTAGAAAGAAAGAAGGCAGGGGTTCCCAGCACAAGCCATATGAGGTGTGATGATGACCTGGATTAGGAAGGTGGCGGCTAGAAAGAAGAGATGGAGATGACAGGGAAGTTCTGCTGAGAGATCAGTCCCAAACTGGAGGTTTCTCCCTGCAAACAGAATAATCAGAGATAGCCAACAGACTGGCACTGTTGGCTCCAAGAGTGAGCACCAGCACTCCTCGACCACATCCTCAGATGGCCAGAGGGGCCTGCAGGTCTTGTACCCGACAGTGTCTTGGGCTTCTCCTATGATCAATAGTGTATCCTTGACTAGTAGCTCTAGGTTATGGCACAATTATCTGGAAATCAACAACTAGCATTCTCATGGCATACTGTAGACATGACTTAAAAAAAAAAAGAAAAACTTTTCTGAGCTCTGACCAGAAGATCCAAACCTAAACAAAGACTAAAGCTGTGCATCAAAACAGATAAACAAACATTACCTTAATTCAAAACAACATGCTTACCCATCTGCTCCCAGTTCCACCATGTCTAACCACAGTGGCTATATATGAAAGGCTTCCTCGTGGGAGAGAGATGGGGACTCTTAGGACTAGAGGACTCTTAGGTTCAGAATAACCCATTCAACTTTTCTGTTTATCAAATGTGCTGCAAGGGTCACTGATAGCCAAACCGTCTTGGGTAATGAAAAAGCACAGATTTCAACCATGCCCTATACATCCTAGATTGTATTCTCTAAGGGGGGGTCTACCCGTTAGTGATCCCCTGAGGAGAGTCAGACACATGTTTGAAGGACTATGTCAAGAACCATGGATAAAAAAAAAAAAAGAATGTATATTTCTTAAGGCATCACGTGTGATGTGGCTGTGTTGGAGAATAACTAAGTGCTAATTTCATGGACCAGTTGCATGCAGTCAGGCCCAGGTAGGAGAGTCTGGAGATGCTCAAACTAAGGTTGATGGTGGTGGTGGGAGAGGATTGCTTGGGAAGCTCCCGCAATTTCTAGGGAATCTTTTCACCAATGAGACTGGAGAGAGGTTACATTTTGAGTGATTGATACTTGATCTGGATCCTTAATTTTTTTTTTTTTGTTAAAGACACTAGTTCCCTTGGGAAATCAAACATATTAAACTAATTGTTTTCTTAGCTTTAACTTTGTTAACTTATATTTGCAAAAGTCTCTCTCCTCAAAAAAAAATACTTAAGGGACAAAGTGTAAGAAGAAAGTTTTATACATATATGGTAAACAAATGGCAATTTGAAACAATTCGACTTTCTTCCCATGCATTCTCTTTTCTCCTAGTTGCTGAACCAGGCAGCAGAGTGGAAACTTCAGGCCAAAGTGCTGAAGGAACAAGAGACAGTGCTGCAGGCTCAGGTGAAGTGGGGAGACCAACATATGGAGGGTTGGGGTAGTCTCCTTCTGGTACCAAGGGGCTGGGACCCAAGATCCCTGCGCAGAGCTTACAGGTGGCAGGGCATGGGGAGTGGGGATGAGACACGAACAACCTCACATTTATTATATTTAAGAAAGTAGAGTATTATGTCTATGCAACAGAAATGACGCGACCAACATTGCTAGGCCAGAGGTCTGCAGACAAATGATGTCACTGAAGAGGTCAGCCCCAGCAAGCTAATGTCCAGCTTCCCACTTTCCCTCCTATTTCTTTTCTGTCACCTGATCCACTGCACAGCTAAGGTGAGAAGAAATGTAAACCTGTTCAGAAGCATCTTTATACCTGTCGATCCTAAACAGTCTTCACATTGGGATACTGTCTCTAACACCAAGAAAATGAGAAAAATGGAGGCCAAGTTTCTGTGTTATCAGAGACTGACCTTGTCAATGGTGAATGGCTAGGAGTGGTGGGAAATCAGGAATCCTTCTGATTTGGCTTCAGGTGTCATTGGCATTTTTGTCAGATTACTAGAATTCCCACTTTGGGCTCAAAACTATAACCTCCTGGGACAACTGGCTCTGTGCCGAAGCCAGGGCAATCCCTCTTCCCTATTGGCATAGGGCTCTGGCCCTCCTGGAAAATATTCTCTGTCACAGTCCACAGAGAGACTCTGAACTGCTGTTGGGAGAAATGCCCAAGTCCTAAAGGGATGGGGAGTTCACAGAGAAAATGGATGGAAGGTGAGGGCATCAGAAGTTAGAACTTTATCTTGGCGTTAAGACTGTAAATGTTTATGCACTGACTTTAAAATTCTACTATTTGTAAATAAGTAAATAAACAAACAAAAGGTGCATACTTACTGCATAAATGAGCAAATTCAACAAATGCCATTTATTGTAAAATACATCAAGAATAAACTTAAAATAACAAATTGCAGCAAACATACAGGTGACTTTGCCTGGGATAGCCTTCCTAAAGCATATTTATGAGATGTGTACAGAGAATATGATGGGAAACTGTTGTCCCCTATAAAATACATCCTTTGAAAACATTCAAGAAAAGTTTTCAAACTAATTGAGGTTTGAAAGAGAATGTCTCTGGATTGTCATAGAACCACAGGGCTACCTTTGAGTCAGTTGTAGAACTCATCAAATCATGGTGTTGAGAGTGGGGACCAGTGGTGGGCCTCTAACCTGTGGACAGTGGTGGGAAAAAAAAGGTGTGACTCTACTGTGTGAGATAGAGAAAACCCAGAGAGTCAAGGTGTGACTCTACTGTGTGAGATAGAGAAAACCCAGAGAGTCAAGCCGGAGCCTCTGGTCCATCTCTGCTCACTAAACACTGAGCTTGAGAGAAACATTGGTCAGTACTTGATGCGAGGCACTGTTCACATTGTCTACAACAAGAAATCACTTCGCTAAAGACCAATAATTAACTTGAATGAGTAGCTTCATATTAGTTTCTAGACTACAGAGCGACTTATTCAGCTGCCAACAGAGTCCGGGGTGTGTGTATGTGGCTGCCAACAGCTGTGTCTGTGTGTGGATATGTGTCACGTCCATGTCCTTGTGTTGGTGTACACATCTGCACATGTGGATGTGGAGGCCAAAAGTCAGTATCATGGATCTTCCTCAGTCACCGTCCACCTTATGTTTCGAGACTTGTCTTGAAATGAATCTGGAGTTACGCCATTTGGTCAGACTAGCTGGCCAGCGAGCCCTACCCATGGCCGCCTATTTCCATTTCTTTAGTGCTTTGATCACACTGCTGTGCCTGGCTTCTTTAAGGTGGGTGCTGGGGATTAGAAGTCAGATCCTCATGCTAGCATAGCAAGCATTTTACTGACTGACCCATTTCAATAGAACCAAGGATCTGGGAGTTTAATGGTGTGGGAAATGAAGACATAGACAATTTCTCAACTCTATCCATTCAAACTTGAGAAGTATTTACCAGGCGGACATTCCTGATCCCCCACCCACCCGCTGATCCTGAATGAGTCCAGGTATTAAGATCAGGGTACTGGCTCTTTCCACAGAAGTGCCGTGCGACCTGGCCAACTTACATAACCGAATTCTATTACACGCTTCCCTTGTTTCTAATTGTCCTTAAAGGAGTAGGCACAGCAGGAAGTCAAGGGCTTGATGCCCACTTTTAAGAGCTGAGCAAGAAAAATACCAAAGGACAGTTTACTTGTTTTCCTAGATTGGAAGTCACTTTCAATCACGAGGCAGCACTGGTGAGCTGGGAATGTGTTTCTCACTTAGGAAAGTGGTGTCTGGCTCTCAGTTGTATAAACTGAGGCAAGAGCAGCTGTCCTAGATGATCAGTTAGATACAACAGTCATGACTAATGGGGTGTCGTCAGATCAGTAAGGATGAAGAGAGTAGCAAATGTGGAATGCCGGCAGTGTCTGACAGCACAGACACAAACTACCACCCAAGGGGAAAGATCAGGGAAAAGGTATAATCATAGTCTCTAGACTCAGATAGCCTCTCCTTAGCTTTAGACAAGGGGAAAGCCCTCTACAACAGCTCTGGGGACAGGACTTGTCTCATTGTAGAAGGAGCAGTGGGCTGCGTTCCTGCTGCCCAGTTCATGGCTGCCTGGCTAGCTTATGCCCCAAAATAACACACAAACTGTATTCATTTAAACACTGCCTGGCCCATTGTATCTAGCCTCTTCTTGGCTAACTCTCATACCTTGCTTAACCCATATTTAGTAATCTGGGTAGCACCACGAGGTGATGTCTTATCAGGAAGATTCTAGTGTACGTCCATCTTGGGCTGGAGCTTCATTGCGTCTGTCTGAGGCATCTTACCTCACTTCCTTCTACCCAGCATTCTGTTCTGTCTATTCCACCCACCTAAGGGCTAGCCTATCAAATGGGCCAAGGCAGTTTCTTTATTAACCAATGACCTTCTTCCATCATCTCATAGTCTTACTAACATAACTTCTAGGCATAGTTCCAACCATTTCTTCCTCTAACTAGAACTTGGTGTTCAGGTAAAGCAACACATGAGGACCAGCTTGATATCGTTCAGTGTGTACAGGCACTGACTGCCAAGTTTGGTGATTCCCCAGATCCCATATGTAGAGAGAGCTGATTCTCAACCCTGGAAAGTTATACTCTATGCTCCACTGATCCACATGGCATTCATGAACCCCAAACACAAATAACTGAATACAACAACAAAAAAGTGAATAAAAAAATAAAAGTGAGCCTTTTGGTCCATTTTAAGGTGATATTTTGCAGCAATTTGTGTAACTTTTAACCATGAAGTACTTGTTTATATTTCTGTCCCTGGCATGTTCCTGGCATGATTTCTCGATTTCCTTTCCACATTTCTCTGAAACCCCACAGTGAAATTGGAAATAGCTCCTGTCAAATGAAACACACATTGTGTCAACATGATAATAGAAGGCCAACTCTATGGTATAAATATCCACCAAGGAAATAAGAAGTACAAAATTTTAGTTAGAATAAAATAACACTGGTTCTGGTTACCTAAGCAGTTGAAAAACTACATAAATTGTGCTGTCTATGATAAAGAGGTCCAATAGGAAGGAAAGGAGAATATTAAAACATGACCACTTAAAGAAGTATATGAGAAGTTGTTTGATGTCTGTGGAATTGTTTAATGTGGCATTGTTTCTATTTTGCAACATGAAAACATTGTGGAAATGGTTGTACAACAATTCAAGCATAACAATATTGGTCTGCATACTTCAAATGGTTAGGGTGATTAATTTTGTGTGTATTTTTACACAATTTAATTTTTAAACAAAGCAAAGCAAAAATGGCAAATTGGAATAATCTAGTAAAAACTAAAGATGATGAAGAAATACCCAATTCTTGGCAAAAATGTGACAACCTGAGTCTGCTCCATAGCACAACCCCACAAGGTGCCTGGAGAAAAACAACTCCTCCACATGCATGCACGTGTGAGCACACACACACACTCGCCACATACTAAATACATATATTTAAAATATTTGTTTTACTATTGTCAGTGCATCGACTTGAACACAGTAATAAATTCAGTCAATAATAAATCTGCATTGGTGTCACATGAAGGAAAGAAATCAAAGTACTGACCCTTGTTATTATCTAATCAAGAGTGAGTCCAGATCTGACATTTCGGTTGTGACCCTAAGTGTTTAACCTCTGAGCTAGCATTTCAGCCCCGTGAGCCCAGGTTTGAATTCTCTACTTCACTCTTCCTGTGTCTTCTGTCATCCTGATTTACCTGTTGTATGAGCCTGAATCTGCTGCCTGCCTGAAAACTGTCTTGTGAGTCTCTTCCTGTCCCTTTGTCTGTCCCCAATGAAGGGCTTTGCTGCGTAATTATTGAACAGCACAGAAAACATCACATGGGAAAGGAATGGAAAGGAAGTTTACAGAAATTATTAACAGTCTTCTAAGGGATTGAGTCATTGACTCCAGCTGATCCCAATGACCCCAACTGACCCAGATAACAAACAAACAAACAAACACTGTCAAGTAATATCCAAATGCCCCTTTCAATATTTCTGGGAGATAGTCATGTATAAGATAGACTTTGAACTCTATTTGCTGTTTTCAGCAAATGATTATCATATTCATTCTTGGGTCAGGATAACTTAAGATTACAGCTATTTATTAGCTTAGGTATAAAAGCTGATCACATGGAAAACCCAAGGCAAATAAAGCTCTGACTTGGTAATTTGTATCGGAACATCTCATAGTCAAGTTGTCATTGAGTTTGTTTTCCCATGAGGAGTGCAAGTACCTCAAAAACAAGACCCATGTGTTAAATAAATATCTTTATATATGTGGTACTTATGTATGTTCAGTGATCAATAGATGTTTGTAAAAAATTAAGAGGAAATAAAACTGTAATGATATATGTTATTTTATTCTTTAAAAACATTTTAGACAACAATAAGAGGATTCAATAGATTCTTCAAAAGATAGAGCCCAAGAAATTGGAAGAAAAAAGTTGTGGAGGGGAATAAGGGGGAAACTGGAGGGGAGGGAACGGCAATGAGTTTGGAAGGATGGCTGAGTGAGTAGAGCACTTGCTGCAAAAGAATAAGAACCTGAGTTTGAACCTCAAGTACCCATGGAAAAGCCCGGTGACACATGCCTATAACTGTAGCACTGATGGGTAGAAGGGACAGAAAGATTCCTGGGCCTTTCTGACTCACTGAGAGACCTTCTTTCAAATGGTAAGGTGGAGAGCTATAGAAGACACCTACAGACAGAGAGACAACAGACAGACAGACACACACACACACACACAAGTTTTAAATGAAAATTTTCAATCATGCTTACCAAGCTACACTGACCTTGTAGTAAACATAGTAACTGAACATATGACTAACCCTGTATTGAGAATGCCTTTAAATCATTTTTCTTCTCAAATAATGAACAACGACATGTTTTTTCCCCCCTGGAAGCATTCTGAAAGCAACCCTAAAATAGATGTACTCTTTCCTCTGTTTATAGCTCACTCTCTACTCAGGAAGGTTTGAGGAGTTCCAGAGTACACTGTCAAAAAGCAACAAAGTGTTTGCCACTTTCAAGCAGGAAATGGATAAAGTGAGTACTGCGTATCCACAAAGATTGACATTTTTTTGTTTTGACAGGCAATTCTTTGCATTCATTTTTCCTTTGGCTAAGGTATTTTAATGCATTTCACGATGCAATGAAATTTTTATAAGCAGAAAAGAGACTTTCAGTAGGTGTGTGTGTGTGTTTTTTTTTGTCTTTAAAAATTTTTCCAGTAAATCAATCTAATCAACAGTCTCAAAATGCTAGGATTCATTTTTTTCTGGAATGAGCAATATTTATTCATCTTGATAGCTAGCTTTAAAAAGGACAGAATTAGCATTAAGTTTAAAAATCTCACCTTCTAATGGTTAAAAACAAATGTCTAAGTACCTAAAAAATACAACACTAGCGTTGATAGATTCCTTCCCATAATTGTAATATAACTGATGAATCAAAATATGAATAAGAAGATGGAAGAGTAAGTTCAAATACTGAATTTTTAACTATTCTCTAAGTACTGTTAGGCTATTTACTTACCTCTCTTAACTTTTATTTTTCTTATCTAGAAACTGAGATGTTATTTTTTCTGCATAACTCACAAAACTGTGAAGTCCAACTAAATCAATCTATTAAAAGTTTTTGCAAACCTTTTATAAATATAAGGTACAAATATTACCAACAGACATGACATTAACATTCTATTTAGAACAGTATCTTCGCAACAGGAAGTCAGCATCAGCATCCTGTCTCTGACGACAGAGGGTGAACGCACATGCTGTACAAGTCTGATGACGAGTTTAGATCCCTAGAACCATGTTCAAAACTGGGTGAGGTGGTGATACACCTGTGATCCTATGACTCCTCCAGCAACATAGGAAGCAGAAACAGAAAAATAGTCTGGAAGCTCATGGGCCAGCTGGCCTAGCACAGGGATGCATAGCAGCTGAACAAGAGAGACCCTGACTCAAAACAAGGTAGATGAAGATAACTAGCTGATCCCTAAAAGTTGTCCTCTGACTTATACAAATATAGCCTTGTGCACACACACATGCTCACATGCGCACACGACACACACACACACACACACATTGTGTTTCTGAACAGGCACTGGCATTAATTATAAGTGCAAGAAGTATCTTTCAAAATCTATTTTAGTGAAAAAATGTAGCCTTTACACTAATATTTGTTGCTAGTTTTCTTGGTTCTAAGTAGATCTATCCATTAGTTATTTTTTTTTAAAATTCTAGAGTGGTAAGATTAAAATTTTATTTCAAGATTGCATATTTTGAGAGCAGGATATTAAATCAAGTTTTCTTAATCTGAAATTCATTTATGGACATTAGTTAATCCAATAATTCCCAGATAATAAACAACAAAGACCCTGGTATGCATGTTTGTGTAACTCTCAATATGGCCCTATATCTTTTATCAAATTATTAAAGTTAACCTCTTAAATTTACAAATGCCTAATCTGGCTTACATATGATCCAAACAAAAAATCCACTCAAGACCCATCTACCTTTTCTTAGAGCAAGAGCTGATAGTCTGGGCTCAGCCTCTGGCCTCAGTGGGTGCCTAAGACAACTTTGCTCAAGAAGGAAGCATGTAGTCAGACATGGATGCACACACCTTTAATCCTAGCACTTACCCAAGAGGCAGAGCAGGCAGATCTCGGTGTGTTCCAGGCTAGCCTGGTCTACAGAACAAGTTTAGGCCAGCCAGGACTACAGAATTAAATCTGGTCTCAAAAATAACTGAAGTAAAAATAAAAAAAGAAGCAAGCACCCAGGTATAGCTCATGAAAGGGAATGATACTGACCATCACCCTTCAATTTATACAAGCAGAGAGGAGATTCTACAATAAATAATATTCAGTAATCTTATACTCAAAAAAAGAATCTTATACTCAAAAAAAAGATTTGATCACTTCTATATCACCCACATTCATATACAGTGACTTCATTTGTTGCAGAAAATGAGGGATTTCTTTTGCTAACTCACTTAGATATTAATACATGTCCTTGAGCCTCAGTTTCCCCATTTATTAAATAGGGAGGAAAATGGAGCCTTTCTCATAGGACTGTTTCTTTTTTTTTCTTTTTTTATTAGTATGGAATTCATGCCTTTCCATGCTTAAAACAGACCATCTGTGTCTATGATATCTTTTTTTTATTAATTTATTTATTAAAGATTTCTGTCTCTTCCCCGCCACCGCCTCCCATTTCCCTCCCCCTCCCCCAATTAAGTCCCCCCCCCAGCTCGAAAAGCAATCAGGGTTCCCTGTCCTGTGGGAAGTCCAAGGAACCCCCACCTCCATCCAGGTCTAGTAAGTTGAGCATCCAAACTGCCTAGGCTCCCACAAAGCCAGTGCATGCAGTAGGATCATAGAACTGTTTCAAAGATGAAATAAATGTGTAATAATCGTTCTGTGAGCTCACCTAAATTTACCCTATAAGCATAAATAAAGAGAAGATGAAAAGCAGCTTTTTGTGAATACGCAAATTATCTACAATTTAATACCTAAAAGCAACCTCGGCTTTCTCACCCTGATAGCTTCTACTCAATAAAATAACTGATTCAAATTGCAAGCTTATTCATGGGTCTCACGAAGGAAAATTTTTATTTTAAATGAAAGAGAAGTCAACAACAACAATGTGTTCCTAAGTAGTTTCCTTCCTCCTGAATTGGCTCCCGTGCAGTTAAGTTTATTCATTACTGATCTAGAGGACTCAGAAATAAATCACTCCTCTTCCACAATCTTCATTGTTGACATTGAACGTTTGTTTGCTTCGCCAGCTGGTAGCAAAAAGACTACCCTTGGTGTCACATGTGGAACTAATTGCTTCCTTGAGACATTAACTCCTCGGGATTAACACTAAAACACTCTAATTTCTGTAGACAACTAAAAAAATGAAGAAGCTGGAGAAGGATACAGCCACATGGAAAGCCCGATTTGAGAACTGTAACAAAGCTCTGTTGGACATGATTGAAGAGGTAAGGCAATTCTTTTCTTAGCTTTTATCTCCATCTCCCCAATCCTATCAAAACAGTCAATGTAACCTACTAATGCAAATGATTGTGTTTGAATACAGGCTGAATTCCAAGGGAGATATGACACATTAAAATATAGTGAAAAGAAGATTAAGGATCATTTAGAAATCTAAGGGAGAGTCAAAGACCTTTGTAAACCTTAGTCACAGGATTATTGAGTAGAAAGCTCTGGACAGGCAGGACAGGCTCCAAAACCACAGAGAAACCCTGTCTCGAAAAACCAAAAAAAAAAAAGAAAAAAAAAAAAAAAAGAAAGCTCTGGCACCAGGCCTGCTGGATTGTAAAGGTTTTGATGAAGGTTTTACTTGACCTTGAATTTCTACCATTTAGCACTCAGCAAGTACAATGAATGGATTGGTTTGACCATACTGAGAGAAGACACCAACCCAGATATCCCATATGTAGATTATTTTATAGACAGATATGAAGAAAGCTTTTTAAAAACTCCTCCAACAGGTATTAGATTGCTGATATTACGCTGGAACCTGCAGGTTTTTTTCAACTCTAAAAGCAAAGATATATAAGCTCTGACATGAATGCCAGGGCTTACATGTGAAGACCCTTCGTGTTAACAAGTAAAAAAGGTAACTGGGGTGGTAATAAGTAGTAAGATGATTAGGATCACACCCATGCTCACACACACGCCACTGTTAACAGAGAAAAGAAGAACTGAACAGCTGACGCAGCCAACATCATGAATAAGCATGTGGTGAGTGTCTGTGGTTATAATTAACACGTTAACTATTCATTCCAAGTTGCAACTAATTCCCAAGACACGTGTTCATGATTCATCAACATGAGTCAAATGGCTGCTGCAGTTAGCATATAGCAGTTTGTCTATGAAGAAGGCATATCCCTAGAACACATACAAGAGTCCTGAGGGTGAAGACCCTCCGTCTCACTCATTTCATGCAAACTCTTGCTTATACCCTCCAGTTCTTAGAAGCAGAAGATTCATGTAGGTTAAGATTTGACAGACTTTTCACTGAAGCAGAAAGAAGGTTTGCCATGTTCCTTTTCCAAAGAACAGGCAATGGTGATTAAAATTCTATTAGTCTAACAATCAGTGCAAAAAAAAAAAAAAACAAAACAGAAAAACAAAGGGATTTCCATCAATGTTTGTTCAAACCTAGTAGACAAATTCTGGGATGAATAGTTTTTATCTCTGGAGAGCATTCTAGGGAATTCACTGCTCATGCCATTTTGTGTGTGTATGTGTGTGTTTATGTCACAGAAAGCCCTGAGAGCTAAGGAATATGAGTGTTTCGTTATGAAAATCCAGAGGCTGGAGAACCTGTGTCGTGCTTTACAAGAAGAAAGAAAGGAACTCTACAAAAAAATCAGAGAAGCAAAAATGTCTGAAAAGGAAGAGCAGGGTCAGCACACCTCTGATGAAGAGCCAGAGTCAAATGTCTCTGAAGACAAAGAGATAGATGCAGAGGAAGCCAACAGTGTCCAAAACGCCGTAAAAAACCTGAGCACAGCCTTTACCATTCTTCATCATCCAGAGTCCACCCTGGACCAACCAGAGGAAAGACAACCAGCAGAGATGGGTCCTCAGGAAGGAAGTGACATCACCCCCCAGCAGCCCGAACTAGCCCTTCCGAATCCTCCTGCTGCTTCGGGGAGTCCTGAACCTCCTGTGGGTTCTCAGGCTGGAGCCAATGTGGTCTGTGAGGCTGCACCTGTCTCTATAGCCAGCTGTACCCCTGCAGGGGCAGAGCTCCAAAGCCAGGGGTTCCCTGCTGGGAATCTCCTGGACCAGAAGTTCCAGAAGCCAGAGGCAAAAGCTTCTGATCAGACCCCAGGTCAGGGCTCCCTAGATGTAGTGAAGACAACAGGCACTGCTCCACCATCTCCAGAGTGTGAGGGAGTCCCTGCTGTGGTGCCTGGCTATGAGCCAGGCAAGCAACCCCCACCAGCAGCCACGGAGACCCCTCCAGGCCCTTGCACCGGGCTCCCCATAGAGGCCAGTCTGGATGGAGTGGACTAAGCCTCATGCACTCTTCAGGCTGTTCGCCCTGCTGCGTCTTCCTCACAGCAGAATGTCTGTGGAAGGAACTCCAAGGACTAGGAAGAAAGTTAGGGTCAAGACATTTTTAATGCTGAGTCTTTGCTGCTGTTCGCAATTTCTAAGTAACGTGAAAATTTTCTGTAATTGTATAATGTTTCCATTGGCAGCCAGACATATCAATGGCAAATACACATTTCATGTCCATTAAGCTGGTACCTTAATCCAGTTTATTAACAGTAAGATTTGTTATTTAAGGTCTCCCATTACAATATATAAATAATCTGAGTGTTATGTTTATTTTCACAAATAATAAGAGCTATAATGAATACTCAGGTTCCATTTAAATAGCATAATATACACTGTGCTTATGTGTATATAATATACATGTACATATGTGGATAAATAGTACATTCATGTGTATATATACACAAGTATTTCCATATGTGTATATAAAGTCGTCATACATTACAAGTATATTTCACTCCTTACAGATTGTTCCCTATTGCAAGATATTTATATGCTCATCAAAAGTTCTCTTATTGTGCCAGGTGGTGGTGGCGCACACCTTTAATTTCAGCACTTGGGAGGCAGAGGCAGGCAGATCTCTGTGAGTTCGAGGCCAGCCTGGTCTACAAAAGCTAGTTCCAGGACAGGGTCCAAAGCCACAGAAAAAAAAAAGTTCTCTTACTTCCACTCTGGACTATAGTAGACTAATGTTTTATGAATCTGAAATGGGTTTATAATGCAAATATTTAGGCCATCGCTACTTTGGCTGAAAAAAGTAACCTAACCTAAGATAAAGAAACTTAACCAACTGATCAAAGGACAGAAATAGCAAGCATGTTAGAATTCCTGTAGAGATGTCATTTATACACAAAGAGGATTGCAAGAGGCCCTAGACATCAAAGGGAAAAAAATCACAAGGGGGTAGTACCCTTCACATGTTTCTTCTCATCTTCTGAGCCAGCTTCCTCCCAGGTTCCTAGCATCACTTCCCTTTGATGAAGCACCCTACTCCTGACTACCTGTGAGCAAATGGCTAGAAATGGGAAAAGAATCTAGGACTTGAGGGGTTGAAAGTCCTCAGGCTACAGATTCTGGCCCTCATCCCTACCTCTTTGGCTACTGATATCTCAAGAAAATACCCACTTCTTGCTATCTCTAACTTTGTCTTTATCTCAAAACATCTGTTCTTCTGAATTCCCTCCTCTGTATCAATACCTGGCCCACATCTCAATTAATGCTAAGTAAAATGTTCTTTTTCCAAAACAGAAATCCACACACGTTTTCAATAGGAGTGATGAGGCTTACAAAGACAACACATTTTCTGCTCTAAGAATTTTTGTACAGGCAGACGTACAAAAATTTTAAAAAGGGAAGGAGTCTACTCATAATTCAAACACAACAGGACTCCATAGATGTCAAAGCCAGAGCACTAGGGATTGTCCAAACGAGTTTTACACTCTCATTGTTGACAGGAACCTCTAATAACACTGACAGCATAAATTACTCAGCCTGGGCTAAAATAAACTATCCTAACAAAACAGAAGAGCTGGGAAGGAGGGAGACAGAAGGAGCTCCAAGAGAGGAATGTCTAATCTAACACTACTTTAAGAAGTTGAACTTTCTAGGTAGTGTGGTGCACACATTTAATCCCAACGTTCAGGAAGCAGAGGCAGGTGGATCTTTGTAAATTCGACCACCCTGGTCTACGGAGAGAGTTCCAGGATAGCCAGGGCTATACAGAGAAGCCCTGTCTCAAAAGCAAAACAAAACAAAACAAAACAAACAAAAAGTTGAACTCAGGTAGGAAAATGGATAAAGGAAGATTCCTGACTATTCCTCTAGGAAGTCATTCTTCAGAGGAGCTTGTGGCTGTTTGCCAAGGCACACAAGGAGCTGGTAGGCAATGACCATGTAGTAAAAGAATTATAAAACTGTATAAAATTTGTTTGAAATAGACAGTATTTGAAATAACAAAAATACCATTTGAGAAAAAAATAAGAGGAAAAAAGGATGCCATTATTTGAGAATCCATGTGTTTTTGGAGGCTTCACATATTATAATCATAATGATATCCAGCCAAGTTCAACACTACTGAAAATTAAACATTCTATTAACTCAAAGCCAAATATTCACCATAATAATCCCTTCTGTTTACAAGACTGAGCTTCAAAGAATAGAGTAAGATCATCACAAATAGGTCTTGGTCATAAAGCTTAGGAAGACAAACAAACAGGAGGTGCTGATGTCCAATAAATTAAGTATTCTGACACCCCAAGTTTAGTATTTGCATCCAAAAGGGGTTCACAGCAACGCATCACTCACAAATGTGTGTAACTTTTGCACAGTTTCAGAGGCTATAACTTCCCTCAAATCTGCAAGGCTTTAATATATGATTTGGGAGAATTATTTTAACAGTAAAGAATGTTTTATTGAGTTCTTTGTGTTCAAATTTGGCCTTACAACAACGCATACATTCTGAAAGCAGAAAATTTATCTCTTTATCAAGTTCACACAACTATTTTTAGAGATGCCGAGTCTTTCTAGAAACACTAGAATTATTGTTTTCTAAATGTAATAAGATAATGTTTATACCACTTAAAAAGGCTTCTCTCCCCAAATTTTCTGGTGGTTTTTAAATTTTTTTTCTGTTTTATTCTTCCATGAGTCAACAATACTGAGTAAAAATCTGGCATTATTCTATTCTTGGTTGAGTTCGGGCTTTTTAAATAAAATGCATATGTAGGAAGACTTTGGGAGGCATAAAGGGAGAGGGGGAGAGAGAGAGAGAGAGAGAGAGAATAGCAATAAGGCTATACTCAAAACACTGAGCTCTGTGAAAGAAGCTATAAATAGGATGCCCACGGAAAATGAACGCCATGCCTACAGGAACATCATGCTTTGCATCTAAACATTGCAGCAGCACACACACAAATCCCCATTCCACACACTTCAGGTTTACTTACTGGACACTGGATAGCTGAGATAGTTAAACTTGACATAGCTGATCTGAGTGTGGTGGCGCACGCCTTTAATCCCAGAACCTGGGAGGCAGAGACAGGGGGATTTCTGTGAGTTCAAGACCAGCCTGGTCTACATAATGTGTTCTAGGACAGCTAAGACCACATGGAGAAAAACCATGTCTCAAAATATCAAACAAAAATAAAACTTGACACAGCACAAAAAAATAAAAATTAAAAGGCCAATTCTCGAAACATACATACAAATGTAATTAAGAAAAGAAAAAAATCTGGGGCTGGAGAGATGGCTCAGAGGTTAAGAGCACTGGCTACTCTTCCAGAGGTTCTGAGTTCGATTCCCAGCAACCACATGATGGCTCACAACCATTTGTGATGAGATCTGGTGCCCTCTTCTGGCCTGCAGACATACATACAAAGAGAACACTGTATACATAATAAATAAAAAAAGAAAAGAAAAAGCAAACTCCTCTTTATGAAATGATAAGAATGATAATTCCAAAAATTATGGTATTGACTACTTAGTCAATGTTCTTACAAGTCACAGTTCTTAAACAACAACAACAAAAGCCTATATATCCTCCAAAATTTGTGGAACAAAGTAGTAGTTTTGTGCTCTACTAAAGTGATTGTTAAGAATGACCAGGCTAGCAACCATTGCGATCACAGGAGTGTGCTAATATATCAACCAGAAGATGAAAGAGTCCAGAGACTCAGAGCCTTTATGTACTAAAGAAAATTGAGAATCCAAGTATGTTCAGATCACTTAGCATTTTAATCAAGGAGTTACCCTAGCATAGCATTGCCCAAGTCTAATAGAGGACACTCCTCCAAGGTTCACTATTGAATTCCTAGTGTTCAGTCTGCTACCAGCTAGCTGGGTTACTTTGGAGAAAAGTCTAATATTTCTGGGCATCCATCCACCTATCCATAAAATGAAAACCTTGGGGCTATGGTTTAAAGAAGTATCTTTGTATCAAGTTTACTTTCAAAGAGGAGGCTTTATAATGGTCAGTCTTGACTGTCAACTTGATAGGATCAAGAAGTGTTGGATGGGTTAGTGAAGCATGCCACTGCCTGAGACTGGAAGAGCACTTTCAGGGAGAACTAAAACAGGAGGACCAGATATAAACACGTGCAGCAGTATCTCACAGCTGAGGGGTCTGGGTGGAATAAAAAGGGAAAATAAAAAGAAAAGAAAGAGCAAGGCAGTGAAGGCATTTTCTCTCTGCCTGCTTCCTGACCACCGTGACCCGAGTTCTTCCATCATCCTGGTCCTGCTGGGATGGATGGACACCTCTACAACCAAAGTAAGTTCTCATTCCCCTAAGTTCACACCGCAGGTGTCTGTACACAGCAACAGTTGGCTAATACACTCGCACTGGATGATCTTTGAGAATTTGGGTATTTCTGATTACATCTTCAAGACCATGAGAGTAGGTCAAATTCTCTTCTCTTTGATGAGTGTTTCCTTTTAAGAGATGAATGCGTGACCTTGGCACTTCTATTACAGGACAGAAAGGGAAACAGAGACAAGAAATCTCCAACCTTTTAATTTAAAAGTTACACAACAGAAGGATTAAGGATTTTTCTAACATATATGGAGGTCCTCCTACATGTGAATGCAATACAAAGAGGAGGACTTGGAAAGACTAGTCAGCCCTCCTCATACTACAGTGTTCATCCATGAAAAATACAAAAATGAACATTCTAAACATTTTTATTACAAATGGGATACCCAAATCTCCAAGTGGAGAACACTCTCCTGAGAATTAATGCTTTCTAATAATACATGGCTATTTGTGTGTCTATGTAAGGCTATGTATGAGTGTGTGTGTGTATTATGTTCTGGGGTATATGTGTAGTCTTGTGCAAGTATATGCATATAGTTATTTGTGAATGTTTATGGCCAGATATGGCCCTATATATGCATTATAAATTAAGATAAACTTATGTAAGTATGTGTAGTTATATTTTTGTATACTGCCCCCCCCCTCTCTGTATGTATGTGTGTGTTAGGGAGTGGGGACTGAAAGCTCACTCTGAAGATGTGATTTTGGTGATGCAGTTAACAGATTTTTCATAGGATCACATCTTGCCACACTTTGCTCAATAAATCCTTCTCAGTTTACAATTTCACAAAGCTTACTGGTTTGGTTTGGTTGCTTCTGTTGTTTCGCTTTGTTGGCTGCCTATCTGCCTTCTGAACAAACAGGCAGGCGGGTGAGGCTGCAAGTGCACTGGCAGCTGTTCATCAGATAACTGCATATGCCACCAGTCCAAGGTGACGGCTACCACTGACTGGCAGCTCTCATGCCAGGGAGCCAAAGAGTGTGTCTTGAGAAATTCTCTATGCCATTCCTCATGGAGACCTACAGCTGGAGTAAGGAGCAGCACCCTGCTGGAAAGCAAGCTGTCTTCATTCCTGTCTTCCTTGGGGAGAGAGAAGCTCCCCCTCGGTCACTTTTTCTTACCATGGTGACGAGATGAAGGGCTGAATTACATCTTCTCAATCTCAGCTTCACTGCCTATAGCTATAACTGAACCCCTGAGTATTAAGGATGTTTCCCTAAACCAAAAGCCAAAGAGAAATGTTTTAATCCATCTACGCTTTAATCATGAGTCAGAAGGTAGTAAGTCAGAGTTTATTGCAAATAGTACCAGCCAATCTGTCATGGCCATGACTCATTCTTTCTGTGGGGAGCTTTTTCCCTGTGATACAATCCATCTCCTAAAAATATCCAGTATTGACTGGCTGTGCTATCACAGCTGGACCATCTGGCGGCTCCTCTGACATTATTAGGGAACTGATACAAGAATCTTCTAATTCAATCGGGGAGGAAGCAATGTCTATTGCCTGCCATTCAAGGAATTAATAATCTTCAGAAGTTAATGTGAGAGAGCTAAACAAACGGTAAGCAAAATTAAATGGTAATAACAAAGACAATCACACACACACACACACACACACAAATTGTGAGGAGGTACCAGTGTCCCAAATACAAAGAGTCATATGACAGAGCAAAATAAACAAGTCAGAATTATATAGACAGTGATCCAGGTACACAGGTAGCTGATGCATTGTCTGGAGACAATGAAAACAATAATAAAAACAGACTACCAGCCAGCCTGCTTTTTATTCCTCATCATATCAACCCCAAATAACTACAGTGGTAAAGCTGCCCTCCTTACCAGAGGCATCCTGTTTGCTGTGCCCTCATCACCACTTGTGAGCTTTCTGCCATGTTGGATAAGGTGTAGGAGAAATACAGATGAGTAACATGCATCAGACACTGTCACCTTTGCTCATCCGGCCAACCTACCTTGAAATGTTTATCACATCTAGTATCAGCAAGGATGACATCACATGGGCACACTCATACATTGCTGTTAAGGGCTGCGTCTTCTCCCTGTTGCTTGTCCATTTCATTCAGGCAGTGGGCTAATTGGCCATATTCCTAAGCTGTTTCTAATGTGCAAAACTGAAAATAACTTTGCATACAGTGCATATATGGTATTTGCATTCCATCCTCAAAGGAATTCTTAACCTAGGATATATTCAGTTTGAGTAGGGCCGGCAATCACAAAGTCCCTCCCTCTCACCCATTCCTGGGAACAAGCAATGACTCACTCTGCCTCAGGGCCCTTGTTACTGCAGCAGAAACACCTGACAGGGTATTTCATTCAGAAATAGTGATGACTGAATTCCTACAGAAAAGGTTCTTAAAAAGTTGTTAAGAGCACTTGCTGATCTTGCAGAGAGCCAGGGTTTGGTTCCTAGCACCCATATGGTGACTTACAACTGGCCGTAACTCCAGTTACAAGGAATCTGGTACCTCGTTAGGCCTGCCACCCTGGCCCTTACATATACGCAGACAAAATACTCATAACTATATAATAAAAATAAACAAATCTTTTTTAAAGCTCAACACCATTGAAAAAGAAGCAGAAGGCTATTTGATAATGCATTTGCTTTCAGATAACACATTATTTTCATATAATCATATGTGACCTGGGGTTTGCAGGCACTGGAGCACCTCCAGTCAAGTAGACCTAAATAGGCCAAGATTTCCATCTATGCTACCTGTTATTCCTTTCTGCAAAAAAATCTACCTGGCACTGGGTTAGCCTGCACGCAACATAAAATTGAAGAGGGGGTGAGTGGAGCTGTGAGACCAGAGGAAGAGAAATGCAAAGGAGCCAGAGACAGGCCCCTTCTCCCACCGTTCGCAGTTCCACAAGAACACCAAGCTACACAACCATCACATGTATGCAGAGGACCTAACACAGACCCATGAAGGCTGATTGTTGCTTCAGCCTCTGTGAGCCCGTGTGAGCCCTGCTTAGTTGATTCTAATGGTCATGATCTTGTGGAACTCCTAACCCCTCTGACTTCTACAATCAATCCTTCCTTCCATCTTCTGTTGGGTTCCCTGCCTCTTCTTAACTTTTAAAACTTGTATAAGATAAGATTTTTTTTTTTTTTTTTTTTTTGTTTGGTTTTTCGAGATAGGATTTCTCTGTAGCTTTGGTGCCTGTCCCGGAACTAGCTCTTGTAGACCATGCTGGTCTCGAACTCCCAGAGATCTGCCTGCCTCTGCCTCCCGAGTGCTGGGATTAAAGGCGTGCGCCACCACCGCCCGGCTAAGATAAGAATTTTTGGTGAGAGTCTGATAACATAGCTGACGACAGGCCTCTGTTTATTCCTAATTTTAAGTGAAATTTTATATTTTGCTATTAGATGGAATGTTTGCTGTATAATTTCCATAAATATTTTCTCTAAGATGAAGGATATAACTTCCTGTTCCTACTTTTTTCTAGTATTTTTCATGATTAGATATGATTTTTAAATCAAATTATCTTTCTGTTTCTCTTCAGTTATAATTGTTTTCATTTGTCTTCTGTGATATAGTCTAGTGACTGATTTCCAATTATTCATCTAATTTTGCATCTTTGGAATGACATCAACTTGGTTTAGTAATACCTTTTTTATGCAACTAGTTTGCTATTATTTTGCTTAGCAACCTTGTATCTATGCTCATAGGAGATTACCTATAATTTTCTTTTCTTAGAATGCCTTTGTTATTACAAGTTAGAAAGCATGCCTGGTTTTTGCGTTTTAGAGGGAAAGTTTGTGTGT